GTGACGGCAATTTCAACAGAATATTCACCTTCAATGATCATTGCGAACAAATTCTTGATGACTGTATGTACGTGTTTTCATAATCTTGGCCAGTACAATAATGTTTCTAACTCTAATAATGCGAAGCTGGACCTAGTTTTCTCACATGTATCTGTATCAAGTAACATGTCACCTTTCAATCTGTATTGATACCCATCATCCTGCTTTGGTAATTTTAGCTTCTGCATTGACACTGGGAGACAGCGTATCGGATTTGCAACTTTTTAAGTACAACTTTTATAAAGCAAATTACGAACAGTTGAAACTGTCGGTTGGAGTTTTTTGCAATGCTACGGACATGGATAAAGCTCTTGAAATGTTTTACACTGTATTATACATCGCAATTGACCTTTATGTTTCAAAGACAAGAATCTCAACTCTGAGATACCCTTAACTATTTTTCTAAAAAAACGATAGCTCTAATTTACAAGAAAAACAAAGCTTTTAATAAACATAAACGAACATAATTTCATGAGCTTCAGTACAAAACACTCACATGGCAGTCAAAAACCTCGATAAAGAGGGACTACGATTCCTTCGTTCAAACTAGTGATGAAAATATTTTGAACAACACAAAAGCGTTTTGGTGGTACATAAAATCCCAACATAACACAACCGGTTACCCTGCGAAAATGTCACTTCTTAACTTAGAACATGCTTTGATGATGTGACATGCTATAAATCTACTGCCACGGGTGACTCATTTATTTTATTAAATGACATTGATGGGATAAATGATTGTATCGCCCTAGATAAAGAGTTAAAAAGTGCCTCATATCAAAGTAATGATGGTAATTAATTTTGTTCCTAAAATATATGCATTATTTGCAGTGACTCTAGTGCAAGATTCCTATATCTTCTTAAGTTTCTTTGTTAATGAAGTCATCACATATATTGAAGGCCAACAGGCTAATCGAGAGGGTATTTTTGTTACCTATCTTTTGATTTGACCGAAAGAGACACAATAATTGTTGTTTGCTTAAATTTAAACTCTACATCACCAACTTGATAATGGTACTGAAATGTTATTTTAAGAGTTATTCACATAATAAATTTTATCAAATAAATGAAGTTGTAGGTAAAAATACTAGAAGTAATAATTGTAGTATAAGATTAATTTCGAATTTGTGTAATAATCTAAAATATAGGCAATCGGTCCGGTCTTTGGCCAAACTTCTTGTTGTGTATGTGGAGACTGATGCAAGACTCCTTAGCCAAAAAATAGTCTTAAGATAGTTCCGTTTACTGTTGAATGTAGAATTTCTCCTTGTAATTCAGACAGGGATATTAACGCAGGGCTTCAAACGATGTTGCAGATAAGGCTTCGGAATTGGTGACTACGGAAATACAGACAAATTGTCTGGACATCTTGAGTGGTAGGTACAAGTAAATCTTTTTTATACCAAGGGAAACCAAGTATAATTTGTCCCTACCTTTGCTAAACATCCAATCTATAAGGTGAATGACTAGATATATTTCTGGAATCTGTGGATTTTCCCAATATTTCAATTTTAGTAGAACATTGGCTCAAAGAGAACCCCTAAATATTGAAAATTACCTATAGTTTGTTGTCCAAATTTTCTCGTTGACAGTTTTTACATGGGGGAACGTTAGTTATGCTCCATGATTGTTTTATGGAAAAATACAAATTTGTTAGTGTAAATAAATTTGATAACTTGTTGGAGGAAAAAAACCTTTGAGTTCTCGTTAGTTCTTAGCAATAGCTTGTCATTATATATATCAGCAATGTGCAGATCTCCTCATGGAAATATTGAGCAATTCTTGGATAGGCTGGAGTCCCTTGTATGTTCCATTCCTATAAACTCTCGATTAATTTTATGTGGATATTTAAATATAGATTTTTCTAAGCATTTGGACAGATATACGATATCTTTCTGTAATCTTCTAAATTCTCTTAATTCGAGTATGCATGTAAATCAGGCAACCGGAGTTACTTCTTTGTCAAGCTCAATAATTGACTATTTCTGCTGAAATTTTGACCTGGATAAAGTTCAATGTGTGGTATCCAGTGCCGGGTTGTCTGATCATGAAGCTGTACTAGGCTGTGTGGATCTTGATGTGTGTAAAAGTGGATCTTTTATAAAGAAAGGTAGGCTCTACAGCAAAAAAAAATCAATGAATTCAAATCGCTTTGTAAAAGAGCAGACTGGGATACTTTGCTTGAGTCAGATATTCCTCCTGGAGCAATTCCATAATGTATTGTGTACAAATTTCTATGGTGCTTTCCCCATTATATCCATTATTAAAATGTCTAAGAAAAAAGTTTGGTATCAAAGGGCCTTAGAGTCTCTGAAAGGAACATGCATGTGCTACATAATTATATAAGCAAATCCTCAGACCTCAATGGATAATGATAAATTTCATGAATACTACTTATCTCACATAAATGTATCTGACATATTTTTTTTTTGCACCTGTATGTGTGCAGGAACTAAAAGATGTTTTTTCTGTAATCAGGAACAAAACCTCTTCTGGATGGGATAAGATCTCCCTGAGGATCCTGTTAGCGCTTCCAATTAAGGTGTGTAACAGTTTGGTGGATGCTATAATCCACTCATTTCTGACAGGGATTTTTCCAGCATGCTTAAAGATCGAGAGCAATGATCGTTCCTCTGCACAAAGGTGGGAATGCTGATGACCCTTCCAACTATCGTCCTATAGCTCTGCTTCCCACATTGGCCAAGGCCAAAAACAAAGCATCCTATCTTTTGAATGTGTTGTTCAGGCTATTTCTATGGATGCTTAACCACACCCGGCTCTTGAATTTACCCGATTTCTGTGCCTAACCATTGACAGTTCCTTGAGGTTTGAGGAACACATATCTAAGGTATGTAAAAAAACTTCTTGGCGCTATGCCCTTAAGGTAATACGGCGCAATCTAGGTTTCGCTATGGCAAAAAATTCGTACTATGCTATAATAGAACCCCATCTTCGCTACAGCATCGCGTTTTGGGGTGCGTGCTCTCAATATTCATTTACCTCAGTATTTTTAATGCAAAAGAGAGCCATTCGTTATCTCTGTGCTGCAAATGTCCATGACTCCTGTGATGGTTCACTTACTCAGGAATATTAACCCTTTGCTCGTTGTTAATCCTGGAGACGGTAACTTTAATTTTTAAAAAATATAGGAATGAACTTAACCACATTGGACTATATCCGACCCGTCATCCTTTCTCATTGAATCTTCCAATACCTCACTCTCAACTTGTTAAAAGGTCCTTTTTATGTGAGGGCAGAAAACTTTCTAACTATCTGCCCACAAAGGTTTTTATCGGCTAGTGTTTTAATCTTGACCTGCATTGTTAATTTATTATTATTTGTGTCTTGTATTTAACTACTGTTTTTTTTTGTTCTCTTTTACCAAGGCTTTGTAACAACTTAAGGTTTATGCAATAAAGCTATTTTTGACCATAGAATAAGTTTTTGACTTTGACTTACTCTGATAAGTTGCAGCTCCGATGTATGGGTATAGTTAGTCAAAATGTCGTTATTGGACACGACTTTAACCCTTAGCATAGTTAACTTTATGTTTTTTTTATATTGGCTTAGCGCATAAGGTATACCATTTGGAGTTTACTCTGTTGCGTACTGTAGTAAATAAATAAATAAAAATAAATTCAGATGCTAGGTAAAGTTTGTTTCACCAGGGTTTGTACTTGCCACCAGCATTTGCCTTCCATGTTTAACAAATAAAAATTGACTGAAACAAATCAATGACGTCAAAAACGTTCGTCTGTTATTAAACCAAAAGTCATTCATTTCAATTTGTCAAAAAAATTGAATGTGTCAATCTACGACAACCCTTTTTTTTCAAGTTTCAAGGTCAAGTATGAACCCTGGTGAAACGAACCTTATATAAAGTCTGTTTTTTTTTAAAAATAATTCCCTAAGTCAAAAATTTAGTAACTATGTTGGCAACACAAGCCTTTTCTACATAAAAAATTTGAAGCATTGACAATTTTACATTGTATTGCTAACATAATGTCAGTTTGACTTTTATCTTAAAAAAAAAACAGATTTTACAAGATTTCGAAATCACTCAATTTTGGTAGAAGTGATACGGAATGATACATAGGTACTACAGGGTGAAAACGTATAGTCTGGCAAGTGGTAACTTGGTAGAGACCAAAGGGGGAAGAAAAAAGGGGCGTAGCCTAAAAATATTCAATGACACCTCGACTGACACCGCCTGATGACAGCCATGTCTTTGGGTTCAGTGGCACCGAAAACACCAGGGAAATAAACCAATAAAATTATTAGAAAAAAATTCTCTAGTTTCGCCAATAACCACGCCACTGCGTGCTGTCGTTCAGACTCTAACCAATAGAATCATGCCTCTGAATAATCACGCCTCTCTACATCCATCATTTCGCAATGTTGCCGGATTTTTTTCTATTTCAAAATACTATCTATGCCCATATAGCAGAAAAAAAAATGTCACTAACTTGTTTATTATTGTTTCCGTCAAGTTTGGTAAAGCAGCAAATTCTATTGGAGTTCGCCGTTTCGCTAGCCAGACAAATAGGTAGTCAGATTCCAGAATATATTATGTTTCCAAGATTCTGGAAAATTGTATATACAGGGTGTCCCAGAATATGTGGGCAATCTCTCGGATTCAGATAGAATACAAAAAAATAACAAGACAACTTCCTATAAAAAAAAATTCCTACGGCCCCCCTTACGAAGTTACGTGCCCCTAAAGGACGCCTCTGAAAATTGTTTTTTTGTTGATAACTTTCAAAATACTTCATGTAATTTTTCGTTTTTTTTTCTTTTAATATGATGGATACTAGATAAGACCTCTTAAAATGGACCCTTTCAAACACACTTGGCCAATCTAGTTTGCCATATTCTGGGACACCCTGTATATTTTTTTACTGAGCGGAAGGATATAAATAATCCAAGTAGATGAGGGCGTTTTTCAAAATAAAACAATGATACCTGCATAATTTATTATATTGTTATTTAAAAGCTACTCCGTCAACAAACAAACCATTGTTTAAATGTCCAAAACGAAAAACAAAAATTACCAAAATGAAATGATACTTAAAACTCTTAACAATTAAATTCTTTCCCCATAATAATTTAAACAATAAATAACAAAATAAAGTCGAGTGAAGAAAAGGCAAATAATACATTTTTAAAATAGCCATTATATCTACTTGAACCAGCAATTATTGTATGGTCTCCTAATATTATATTATAATTATTTATTATAATATATACAAAAAAAAATCACAATATTATAGAAATTAAAAAATAATTATAAACTAGAATAGGCATATGAAAAAAAAATATAATTAATTCATAGTTAATAATTAACAAAACATGTGTTTCCCCTACAAATTCAAAAAATTAGGTTCCTAAACAAATCCGAAATTCTTAGTTTTAATAGCCAACAACAGTTTTTGCCTAAGAACAGTTCGGCTACTGTATAGGGGTATATAAAGTCTGGAGATGCACGTGTTTGCAGTGGGCAAATGTGCGTCGTCAGCAGGTCGAATTGTCACTGAAGGCATTGGCTGGAAACCGTCTTCGCTTGCTGGCAATGCTGGCGATCCAGTCCAGAAATAAACCTAGAAAGTAATTTATGGTAAAGCAGAAATGCTTACAAAAAAATAAGTAGACTTACCAAATCTTGTCTCTCTAAGTGAGTCATTTTTTCAACAATTGACCATAGCCAACGTTTAAATTTAACAAGTCTTTCGCTGCTTTCCCCAGATTCATCATTGAATGATGTGTAGGAAATTAGGACTGATACATTTATATCGCCCACTCCGTTAAGAAGAAGCCGTAAATCTTCTGCAGTCAAACCGTCTAAAGAACCTTCTGGGAGGACGTCAAAAACGCCAGTGCGAATAACCTAAAATAAAACAGAAAAATGTTCGAGTTATCAAAGTAAAGGCTAAGGTTCAGCCTATGCAGATGTTTTCTAATGATGTTACCAAAGCTAATCACATCTAAAAATTACCTACAAGAAAATACAGCATGTGATATTTGCACTTTTATATGAAAAAAAAATTTTAGTCAAAACTTTATATGTATTTTTATTATGAACAGGAAATTATTATATAAAATTATTCAGTTGTGTGTAGGTGATCATTATCGATATTTTGTAGACTATAAAAAGCTAAAACAATGTCAAAAAAATCACCAAAAATTATTTACACAGCCTTAAACGCCACATAGCATAATAAAATCAACTATGTGGATGTTGAACTGTGATTTTTTTTTCTCCAAAGATCTTACCTCAATAGCTTTTTCCTGCACTTTAATCATCCTATATTTCGCATATTTTCTAACATAATCATAAACATTGCTAGAGGTTACTTCAATATCTTTTCCATTTGGCATTATTTCCACTGTACCACCACCTTCTTCAGGACTCAAATCAATCCTAAATAAAAAAAAACACTATTACTAAAAAACAATCAAGTATTTAAAAAGTTCTTTACGTGAAGTTCAAATCTAAAGCCGAAAACAGGCTACTGCTGTCCTTAGTCTCAGCATCAAGGACAAGTTGTCTGAGAGATTCATACACAACCGGATCAAAAAAGGCCAAGTCGTGGAATTTGATTGGACGGCCCAAGATGGATTTAAGCACGTGCCTAGTCAAGAATATTGGGCACAATTCGTTTTGTAACAGGCATAAACCTAGAAGCCTATAAAAAAAAAACATGCTGCTGAGGTAAAATTTGAAAGATATAACAAATTATTACCTTCCAACATTCCTAAAGGCGTTCAACCTCTCAAACGAGGCTTTTCCTTGTCTAGGAGCGTAAAATCCTCGTTTTCCAGGACAATAGAATAACGGAGTGTTATCCTCTTCTTCTGGCACAGCCTCTTCTGTAACAGGACCATCCTTTGCGGTACTAGCACTCTTTCTTGATCCGCTCAATGAAAAATCTATAAAATCACCATTAATAAAAATGGAATTTTCGAAAGGAATAATTTTTGTACCTAACATAGCATCAGAACCCATATCCGAGTGGGATTGAGAATGAGCTAAAATCATTTCAACAGCTTCTTCTACTTTTGATCTTAACGCTTCTTCAGATGCCAACAATAACAAAAGTTGCGCTGGTGATAGTTCCAATAACATACCTGAAAGTAATTATAATTTACCTATGTGTCACCTATTTACAAATATCGTAAATTTCATTTCGGAAGTAATAAAAGCTTTGTGACAGTTTAATAAAGAAAAACTACCAAATTGACTTTCCAAGTTATATACAAGATAACATTCTAATTACATCGGCAGTACAGGGTGGCCTAAATTTGAGCCTCATCATTGGGATCTCGGTAACCGTAGGAGATACGGGGTCGGTTAAATTATGGCAAAGTTGCGCAATTTTATGAGCAATAGAGAGCCGTTTTGAAACTAGAAAGATTCCGAATACTTCTGAAGATATTCGAAAAAAACCGCAATTTTGTAAAATCGTTTTGACTTTTTCTTGGACTTATTTGATGAGCAATTTTAAAATAAATGTCACTTCATCATTGTCACTTTTTTCCCTTTGGCTTTAAAAGATGGTGCTACTAAATTCAAAATTCGACGTTTCGTCTTCAGGCGGCCATCTTCAAGTTTCTTTTTTTAAATACGGACCTGGATTTTTTATTTGCGATTTTGTCATCTTTGGACATCCTAAAACCGATACTGTTTATAATTTTTCAATAATTTGTTTTACTTTTTTCTCAAATTAAAAATTTTCCTTTTTTAATGTTATTTTAGTTGAAAAATTACAACGAGTGATTATTGTGGTCCCTTCAGTCGGTCGTAAACTGAGTGTTGTGTAAAATTGCCATTATTTTTTTGTTTTTATTGAAGAATCACAAGATAACCACAAAATGGCTGGTTCATGTAACGAATGCTCCATAAAGTGCATTTTTAAGGAACCTAAGACCACTGGAGAAGTTTTTGGCTACCCATGTGATTTTTGCAAAAAGGTATTATGCAGGGGTTGTAGTGGTATTAGTTCTACTGAGATACGATATCTAATCTTGGCCACTCGCATTGTTCCATACCTGTGCAAGGATTGTATACCCGGAATTAGAAAAGCATTGAGCCTTGACAGCAGAGTCCAGGCACTAGAAGATACTTTAAGTGAAGTTCAAATTGCTAACACTCAGAAAATAGATGAGTTCGATATCCAGATTAAGGCGATAACTGAGGAAGTCAAGAGTTTGAAAACTAGCTTTTTGGCCTCCCTAGAAGATATTAAAAATGACCTTACCATTATAAAAACCACTACATCTACTTCAACTAAGGAGAAAGACAGCGGAAACAGTGCATTGGTGCACGGTAATGTAATGCACGAGGTCTCTGAGAGACAAAGAAGATCTTGTAACCTGATGGCATTCAATTTGCCTCAAATCAATGAGGCTGAAGATATCTCTAAGACAAAGGATATGCTTCAAGGCCTCACAGGCTCTACTTTAAATATCGTTAGCTCAACTAGAATTGGAAAGCGTAATAAAAATGGACATCAAGCACTTCGTCTAACTTTAGAGTCTCCCGAAGTAGTCCGTTCGATATTAAGAAACAAGCGGAAACTGGACAGAAGCTTGAAAATATTTCTTGAGGCTGATTTGACCACAGAGCAACGAGCAGAGGTGAATGTTTTGAGGGATGAACTCAAGGAGAGACAACGAAATGGCGAAGATGATCTCATTCTGAAATATGTAAATGGAGTACCTAAATTGATAACAAAAAACTAAAAAGGCTTGCCAAAGTAAGACCGGAAAGCACCTCTTTGCTGATATATTTCCAAAATGTCAGAGGCTTACGTACAAAACTTCAACTTCTTTATGAAAATACCTCTTATTGTCAATATGATGTTTTAGTCTTTAATGAAACCTGGTTAACTGGCGATATTAATGATGCTGAACTACAAATGTTTGATTACAACATATATCGAAAGGACAGATCATCAGATACAAGTACTTTTTCTAGAGGAGGTGGGGTACTAATAGCTGTCCGTAAAACCATAACCAGCACAGTTTTATCAGCTACCATAAATATTGAGCAATTGTTTGTTAAAGTCCAGAGTGGTAACAACAATTTTATCTTTGCAACAGCCTATTTCCCACCCCGAAGTACACCTGAAAAGTATGTGGAGTTTAGTGAGAGTGTTGAGAATCTATCCGAAAAGTATCCAGAACACAAACTGTGTATCCTGGGAGATTTTAATCTTCCAAACTGTCAGTGGCATAATGATGGATTATCTTCAGTTGCTGCTCCTATGGCGGCAGTTCCACCTAACGAAGTTGAATCCGTACAAGTTCTTTCATTTTTATGTTCATACCATAACCTATATCAACTTAACTCAGTTAGAAATGTTAACAACAATTTACTTGATCTGGTTTTTATGCAGGATGGTGACACTGAGATATTTATAGCAGAAAATGCCTTACTTCCAGAAGATATTCATCATCCACCACTGTCGTTTGAGGTCGAATATGAATCAAATTGTTTCAACAACTCTGGATTGACTGGAGATGGCTATTATAGGGATTTTAAGTCGATGAATGTTCAAGAAGTATCAAGTTTCCTTTCCCTGTTTAACTGGGATGATTTATTCAAGAACAAATCTCTTGAGGATATGGTTAATATTTTTTACGACATTGTCTACCTAACTATTGATATTTTTGTTCCTTTGAGAAAGTATTCAGCAAAGAAGTTTCCTGTTTGGTTTTCTCCAGAACTAAAACAAACGATAATTGAAAAAAAAAAATTGCATAAAAAATATCGTAAAAGTAGATCACTGGATGACTATAATCAGTTTTCTTTGTTACGGGCTCACTGCAAACACCTAAAAAAAGAATGTTATCGAAGTTATGTTGCTTTAACTGAATCGTCTCTTAGAGATAATGTAAAGAATTTCTGGAAATTTGTTAACAGCAGAAAAGCCAAAAATAATATACCTTCTGTAATGCGGTATGATGGTGTTACTAGTTCATCTGGAGTTGGGATTGTCAATTTGTTTGCTGAATACTTTTCAAAAACTTATAGTGATAAAGACTGTGTATTGCAGGACATTCTGCCTTCTGGGCACATCAATCTGTCGGAATATAACATACCCATCTCGTCTATCTATGAAAAACTATCCAAATTGGATATTAACAAGGGACCAGGACCTGATGGCCTCCCACCATCACTTATCAAGCACTGTAGCTTCTTGTTCTCTAGACCTCTTTTCCATATCTTTAACCTCTCTTTAAAGACCGGGACATTCCCAGCCTATTGGAAAACAAGCTTTATTACTCCCATATTGAAGTCTGGAGATAGTTCACAGGTTAATAACTATCGGCCCATCAGTATATTAAGTTGTATCCCTAAAGTGTTTGAGAGTCTAGTTTGTGATTATTTGTCTGCTAGTTTAAAAGGCTGTTTCATCGATCAACAGTTTGGATTCATTTCTCATCGCTCCACAGAACTTAATCTTTTAACATTTACTGACTATCTCTTGGAATCCTTGGAGGGGGGTTATCAGGTTCATGCTGTGTACACTGATTTTGCAAAGGCGTTTGATCGGGTTAACCATAGAGTTTTGATTAATAAGTTGCAGGGTCTGGGAATTCAGGGTGTCCTTCTGGAATGGCTTTCATCTTACCTTAATGAAAGAACACAGATGGTACGTATTCAGGGATTCCAATCAATAGAAATTAAAGTACCATCGGGTGTACCCCAGGGTTCACACCTGGGCCCTCTTCTTTTTAATTTATATGTGAATGATATTGCATCCTCTTTTCTCTTTTCCTTCTTCCTAATGTTTGCAGATGACTTAAAACTATACACAAAAATCAAGAATAATGCTGATTGCCTAGAACTGCAAGCCGACTTAGATCGTCTCAGCAACTGGTGTGAAACTAATGGTATGGAACTTAATGTTCAGAAGTGCCATCTGATGGTCTTCAGTCGTAGCAGGAATCCCACAGAACAAGTCTACACTATAAATGGTTGCCCTCTGGAATCTGTATGTCAAATCAAAGATCTAGGTGTAGTCCTTGATTCCAACTTATCTTACATATCCCATATTTCAATGGCAGTATCAAAGTCACTTCAAATCTTGGGTTTTATTAAAAGGTGCGCTAAAGATTTTCTTAATATAGCATCCATCAAAATATTATTCTGTTCTCTTGTGAGGCCTCATCTAGATTACTGTTCTTGTGTATGGTCTCCCCACTACAACGTCCATATCCAGGCTATTGAGAGAGTCCAACATAAATTCTTGAGATTTATTTCATTTAAGGAACGCCATGAAGTTGAAGATATTAATTACTCAAGGGTTGAAAGTTCCCTTAATATCACTACTCTTCAAATCAGACGCATGCACAAGGATCTTACCATATTTTATAATCTACTGCACTCATACAGCTTTGGTCCAGAGCTACTGGCAAAAGTCAATATCCATGTCCCTTCTAGACAAACAAGGCTAAATCAGCCGTTCCAAATTGGACACCATCGTACTAACTACGGATATAATTCTTTTCTATCAAGATCGGCTAGATTTGCTAATCAGTATTCTAACAGGTTGGACTGTTTTGATAATCAAAAAGTTTTTAAATCCCAGCTTAAGTCCTGTACTCTGTGATATTTTAATGTCCCAAAGAATGGTTGTAATTAAGGAAAAAAAAAAAAAAAAAAAAAAAAAAAGTTTTAAGTTTTTTTTTTTTTTTTTTTTTTTTTTTTTTTTTTTTTTTATAAAGTATTTTGTAGTTTTTACCCGAGTATTTACCTTATGTTTTATGTTAATTTATTGATATATATTTTTTAATATGTTACTGTTTATTGTTTTCTTATGTTTTGATATTCTAGGTGATAGGTTAGGTTAGGATTCTCACTTGTTAATTATACTTGTCTTTTAATTGGGCAATAATTGCTCGTTGATAAATAAATAAATAAATAAATAACAGTAAAAAAAGGTCCGTATTTAAAAAAAAAAAAAAATTGATGATGATTCCAGAGGAACGAAACGTTGGATTTCAAATTTAATACCGCCATCTTGTAGAAACAGTATCGGTTTTAGGATGCCCAAAGATGACAAAATCGCAAATAAAAACTCTAGGTCCCTATTTAAAAAACGTAAGTTGAAGATGGCCGCCTGAAGACGAAACGTTGAATTTTAAATTTAGTAGCACCATCTTCTAAAGGGGGAAAAGTGACAACGATGAAGTCACATTTATTTTAAAATAGCTTTTCAAATAAGCCGGGGAAAAAATAAAAACGATTTTACAAAATTTCGGCTTATACTTCCGGAGATATTCGGAATCTTTCTAGCTTCAAAATGGCACTCTATTGGTCATAAAATTGTGCAACTTTGCCATAATTTAACTGACCCCGAATCTCTTACGGTTACCGAGATCCCAATGATGAGCCTTGAATTCGAGCTAACCTGTACATAGCAATTTGAGTGAAACAAAGCTAATTTCAGAAATTCAAACAAACCAAAAACAAAGTTCCAAACTCAAATTCTTACCTGTAATTCTACCAGCAAAAGTGGGATGTAAATTATAAACTTTCGGATACAATCTATCGCCAAGTTGCTGCTGATGTGTACTCAAAAATTCGTTGGGTATCGCATTTACATTATTAGAATGACCGCCACTGGAAGTGATGTCGGGCATAGATGGAGCATCACCAGCACTATTATTATGCAAATTTTCAGCAGCAACAAATGGACGTGCGTCAACGCTCATAACTCTACGATGGTGATGGTCTCTGGCCCTTCCTGAACCCCTCGAAGGTAATGATCTACGTAGGACTTCTCTGTCTCGTTGTCTGAGTCTAGAAAATGTGCCCCTGAAACAAACATATTATTATGTAATTTGAATCAATTAGTAGTTGAGAGAATTTACGCCAGAGAGGAAATGAAAACTTTGTTACAACAAAATAAAATATAAGTCAATCCTTACTTTACCAACCTTTGCAGCACACTGTATTGGTTGTATTTGTTGTCAACGACTTGAGCCGACTCTAAACTAGGTAGTTTGTTGTTAGATAGAATCGCTTCTGCGATGGCAGTGTAAAAACTGCGAGCCACGCCGCTTCCCTCACCAGGTTCATCTTTGAATGTCACCTTAACTCTGTTGACCGCCAGAGGGGGCGACGTAGAATTTCTCCTATTGTAGCTGGCAAACTGAGTGTTGAGCTCCTTGAAAGTTTGGATCAAAAGCAGTATTCTATCTCGCTCGATTTTCGAAAGAGTCAAATCTCTTTGTTGATTATTACGGAGCTTTTCCATGTCTCGTCTGAACTTTGCTTCTTTTACTGGAAAACCGCCCAATTCTGAGACTATGGAGCCAGGCTCCAGGCCTACATCTTCCATGAATACACGACCAAATAGGTCTAGAGATAATCTCCAACGACCTAGAAAAATTGAATAAGCAATACATTTCTTTTATCTTATTTTATTTGAAAAAACTGTTTAAACAATCAATACTACTTACCCAACAGTAAATCATGTGACACCATCTGTCCACTAGTAGGCTTACTAGTATCCTGAGCAACTGCGGTAGTAACCACTGTAACATTAGCAGATATTTCTTGATTTTCCAAAGTTTCGGGCTGTTGTACATCCATCATCATATCAGAATCGCAAGATCTTTGACTCAAAATTGTGCTCTACAGAAAAACATTAAAAACATAAAATAAAATTACTTATTTATTATACATACTGAAGAAGAACCAACTCGAACAATAACACTTGTATTAGAACTTCTTGGGCCTCCTGGTATTGCATCAATGTTATTTTCTGGAAGATGAAAAGCGGAACATATTTGTGAGTCTTGACTAGAGCTGGTATCCATAGAATTATCAGATTTCCTTGGAGAGACAATAATCTGGGGTCTAGCTGCTGCTGTTAGTGGTGCTTCAGGGGGTAACGGAATCGAGGCCACAGCTTTAGATGACAAATCTTGAGGTTTTTCGTTGATAGCCTCTTCTAGTTGAAAAACAATATATTTTTTTGTGAAACACACACAAAAAAATTCTTGGTTATTCTTATTAGTAGTTCAAATAACCCAAAAGAATAAAATCACCATTTCAACAAGGCTAAAGAAAATGATTCAACGGTCGTTGAAATGGCAATTTTAAAGTGAAAATATTTGCCTAGAAGGACAGTAATGGTCAAAATAAACAACAAAAATCCTTGATTTAGCCACTGTTTTTACAAAAATAAATACAGTCACTATTTTGCAACTAAAACTGCCCCTCTAACATCTAACTTACCACTAGCTTTATTACCGATAGCTGCCAGCAGGCTTTCGAAAGGCTGCATTATCCTTATCTTAGTATCTTTCTGGGGGGAACCGGTGAGACTATTTGAACTACTTGGACCTGGCTGTGGTTCTCTGGAGGTACTTAATTGGGATGGTACATCAACTTGCACCTGAAAAATTCAAGTAATACAAATTAATTTAGTAGTTTTTTTCAATGAATAATTTTTACCGCCTAAGAAAGAATATAATGTCCGCTCCGTATCTGTCCCCAGTTAAAAACTTAACACAACTGCGGTCATCAGAGAGCAAATCAATAATATAGGAAGTTTAGTGATATATGAACAAGTTTATGCAGTTCACACACGTATTAGAACTTCCATAATAAATTTCTAAATAAATATATTTCTTACCGGTGTTTCTTTGGCAACATCGCCATCAGGATTGAAATTTCTTGGGAAAGACAAAGGATTGGGACCCATGATATTCATTGAGCTAGAAATTGGATGATTGGCCTGAGCAGGTTGTCTCATAGCATAATCACTTGTCCTAGTAGAAAGGCTCAGTTTGGTTGGTAATTGTTCCAGAGGATTATCCGAATTACCACTGGAATTTAAGGTTACAGGCTGTTTGGGAATGCCAAAAAGATCTTCTCTGCGAGCATTGGGCTGCAAAAGATGAGGCTGATCCGCTAAAGGTAACGCCTCAGACATGGGGGTCTCAAATGGGTCAGGTGGTGGACATCCCAAGCATAAAGTACTTTCAGATCTTTGGAAAAATGAATGCTTTCTTCCTTTTCCACTAAACGTTTGTTGCGGGGGGACTGTGTGGACCCCAGTAATAATGGGTAAAGTTAAATTAGGCATGTTATGTTCGTCCAAAGAATCATTATCCATAGTAGCCTCTACGATATCCTCTTCAGCTTCCTCGTTTTCATTTTCGTCCTGGTCATAGCCGGGCAGCAATGGGAGGGCGCTTTGACTTCTCAAATCATCGTCTCTCTGCTCCAACAAGCCTGACCTCATGTAGTAAATGAGCGCATCAAAAACGTAAGCAACGTGTTTTAGAGCTGAAACGTCCAAAATAGGGAGAGAGTCCAAGTGTTCATTGTTATGCGCCCTCATCAGGGAAAGACAGTAGGAAAGGAACTCTCGTCTTGCCGCGTGCCCATCATTATTACCTACAAAATAGAAATATTATTCTATATTGGTGTTTTAGTATTGCAATTTTAGAAATAACTTTTTTTCAGTTGAAAGATGTTAATAAAAAAAAAAAAATGCATGACATAACCACAGATGACCAAAAAATTTGAATCCCCAACGTCTGCAGAAGTGATTTCAGCTATCCTTATTGTCTTTAAAATGACAATGTGTTCTTTCAATAGTAAGTTTATTGGTTCCAATGCTAAACCAAATATTTGTAAATGATGCAGATTTCCAATAACGAAATTTCAAAACGGGCTGACTTCTTTATTATTACTTCATTTTATTTCGGCTGGACTAAAAGTAAACCCAATACTGGCATATATATGTTGTGTAGCCTTAGATACTGTGCATCTGAAAAAGTTTTTCTGAATGGGTACTTTCACTGCCATCTAACAGATGCAGTGTCTTTACTGTTTAGAGACGTGTAAGGGGGTTCTTGCTGGATAGGGATACTCTTGTTTCGTTTAGCATACTCGCATGACCACCTTTGTTTATGTTCTAAGGTGTCCAATAAATATATCTATAACTTCATCAGAGTCTGGCCTGTTTATTGGGAAAAACGCAATCAATGTAACAAATTTTTTTTGTTTTTTTTTTATGTTTAGGAACCTTTTTCGCCAACTTTTAAAGCAGATAAAACCCGAGATAATTTTGTCTTTAGTTTTGTCTCATGTTTGTCAAGGCAATATTAAAATACAGCTATCTAATAAAGTTTCTTCTTCAGCTGAACTTACTCGTAGCTGTCTACAAGACAAATATATTAAACTAGTTATCGGGCTAACCAATAGGACTATAGATTGTTTTTATATATACAGAAACGAAATATGAAAAACTAGTAGAAAACGTTCTAGTCTTACCACCATCTCTATCCGCTCTACCTCTTCCGTTTTCCACCGAGGTTGTGAATCCAACAATCCTACTACCAACTGAGCCTGCAGCGCCGCTGGTGACTGCGTGTGTCCTACCAGATCTTACTACACCAGAATTGGAGCCTACTGTAGAAAAGAAATTGAGTTAACATAAAAGGAAATTAAAACTCCTACTTTTAACTATTTGTTATTACTACTATTTTAACTACAATGCAAAGTTTAGTAAATAAAGTTAATTGAAATATGTTTGTCAGTAACAAAGGAAACCAAGAATCAATATCAAATTGATGTTTTCAGTAATTTGTATGCAGCTTTGGAATGCTTTCAAGTTCTAGAGAATACTCAACTGACCTAAAATTAAAATGTTGCAAGGCCTAAAATGATGTGTCAGATCAACAATTAAGGGTGTACCTTATTTTTGACTGCCATTCATAAACCACTGATCTTTCAGAAATGGTATTTGGTTTCCCTTGTCTTAAGAAGTTATGTATTAGTGTAAAGTACAGAGAAAAAATCTAGTTGCTTTAGTTTTGAGACGGGCAACGATTCCTAATTTCTAATTAAAAAAAACATTATTATAAAGCACACGAGTTAACCTAAAGCAGCTAGTGAGGCTAAAAGGGGGGGAGCAGGCACTTGTCGATGCCCACCTCCTGAGCCGCCGCCGCTGGTGGATGCGTGTTGCTGCTGTTGCGCAGCGTTGCCAGAACTGCTTTGTCCACTTCCAGACGCCATGTTACCACTGCTTGCTGCGCCACTGTCCAAAGTATTAGTTAGGGACGCACCGAATTTTAGTTGAGCCTCAGTGGCATCCATGACAGTCAGTAACCAATCCCAAGTGGGTTTTAGACGGAATTCCAAGTATATCTTGAAAAAAAAAATGGAATTTTATGAGAGGGACCTATAAAAATGGCGATTATTTATGAAAATAAGAGCAGTAGATGAATGCTAAAAATCATGTAAGTAGAATACTGAACTATACCTCATCCACGACCACTAAATAATTATGTCATTTCAATTTTTTTTTGAAGAAATTATGTAAATTGAAGAATGACCACTTTCAGTATTTTATACAACAATATATGAAAGTTTCAGATATCTTTCAAATTTGTCATTTCGACAATAAACCACTTTTTTATTGGTAATGGTACCAATCGCTTCTACCTTATGCATTAAAAATATAAGTTCCCATGAACCTGTTTTCTGCTGAAGATAAACAATTTGTACATACCTGAACATTACAAATGTCATCTGCCGATACAGTCATGCAAGCAGAAGCGGGAATAGAAAAGGTGCTACTGCACATACCAGCGAGCAAATCTGATATTTGTCGCACAACAATTCCTGAAAAAATAATTCAAATTAACTAACCATAATATGTATTTATATTACTAGTACAGTATGAGCTTCATTATTGTAATGAGCCTTACCGTACTTGTGATAAAGAGCATTTTATCTACGATCTGCACAATAAGTGACTATTGTCATTTGTCTATTATAAATAATTACATATTGTGTAGTTATATCAAAAATAATGACCTCTTACCGCACTAGTGCAATAATGAACGCGTTGTGATTCATTATTAAGAAGGGCGACAAATCAGATATCAAAAAACTATAGGCCCATTTCATTATTATCTTGACCTGTCAAAATATTTGAAAGTATAATTTATAAATATGTGTATAGTTCAGTGGTAGATAAAATTTGCCCTGAACAATATGGTTTTCTGAGCAAAAAGACAACAGCAACCAATTTATGTCACATTACACAATACATATCTGAGGGTCTGAACAGCAAATGCCAAGTTGATGTGATATACACTGATTTTGCAAAAGCCTTTGATAGGGTGTCACACAATGTTCTCGTAAGAAAACTCCATGCAGAGTTCAGGTTCAGTCATAATTTGATAGGTTTTCCTGATTCATATTTACATAATAGGAAGCATAAGGTGGTTGTTGAAGGACACTACTCAGATACTTTTGTGGCGACTTTAGCTATCCCGCAGGGATCAAACCTTGGACCGTTATTGTTTTTGCTGTTCATTGTTAGTATAGTGAAGGAAATAACAAATTGCAAAATCTCAATGTTTGCTGATAAATTGAAGTTATATTTGAAAATTGAACATGATAGAGAGTTCACTTAGTACTAGGAAAAGAAATACTTTAAAATTTTAGTATAAGATAAACGAGACGGTGTTGCAAAAGGTTGATGAAATGAGGGATCTTGGAATTATCTTTGACTCCCAATTAAGCTTTAAGCTACATGTTTCTTATATAGTCAATAAAGTTCTTAGAATGTATGGATTTGTAGTACGAGCTGTAGGATGTTTTGAAACACAGACTGTATAAAAAGATTATAATTTGGTATATGTAAGAAGTATTTTAGAGTACTGTTCTGTGGAATGGTATACATACTATAAAAACTATTAATATGCCATAGAAAAGGTACAAAACAAATTTTTAAGATACATACATTACAAAGAAAGTGGTGAGTATAGATTGCATATACCCAGAATAGACATAATGAAAACTTACAATCTAAAATCTTTAGATAATCGTAGAAAAAGTGCTTCCATTATGTTTTTGCATAGACCTATGGTTTTTGTATAAACTAGGTAATAATTTCATTGCGGATCCTGATCTGATCGTGTATCTCAACTTTCATGTACCTACTAATCAACTAATGTAACTACAGAACTAGAAATCCACTCACATTTTATATAGATAATACTCGAACAAATTATTACAGCAATTCTCCCATTATTTCAATGTGTAAGCTTTATAACCAATTCAGAGACGAACATGATATGTATTTTTAACCTAGGATTGGAAAAATTTAAGAAAAGTGAAAAGAGTTAATGAAATTGAGATGTGTGAGATATCAGTTAAATCATGTTATGTAACAAAGTAAACCAAGTACCACAGGTATGCTAGTTCCTTACACTGATTTTCTAATGTGTTACAAAGAATGGCGATGTCATCAAGTTGTAACCTTTGATACCAGAATTCTAAACAATCAAAGTTCTCTACTGGATCTTTTCCTGACAAGCGACAAAAAAATGATGTCATTGATAGAGGCTAAAGCACCACTTGGGAAAAGCGATCACATCACTATTGCGGGTGTAGTGCAGCTGAAATTGAAACAAAATACAACAAAGGAAATAAAAAAGCGAAACTTTCACATTGCTAACTACGAACCCACTGATGAATATATCAAGAACTTAGCAGGAGATATTGAACTATGTGTCAAGAAGTACGAAGAATTTCAAAGCATAATATTTTCTTCCCTGAGAAACTATGCCGGACCAACGTCCAAAAACCTTGGTTGTATGCATTCATTTTCAAAGAAATTGACCTCAAGAGGAAATTATGGGACAAATATAAAAAACAAAAATCAGACCAAAACTATATAACATGCAGGACAGACAACAAACTGACAATTTTCCCACAATGCCAGACCAAACACGTAACCCAAATCAAATAAATAACAAGATTATCACACCTGAAGAAGACTACTCGAGTCCGGGATCTGACGGAATACCTTCCATTTTTCTAAAAAGATGTGCGGAATTTCTAACACCTCTATTAGTAAAAATATTCAACAGCTCGCTAACAGAAGGCATCCTACCAAAAATTTGGACCCAGGCTATCATAATCCCAATTTTTAAGAGTGGAGACAAACATCATCCTGCAAATTACTGACCACTGACCAGTAAGCCTCACATGCACACTCTTGTAGAGTAATGGAAAAAATACTTGCAAAAGATATCACAAGTTTTCTACTGGAAAGTTCTATTATTCCACCGTCACAACACGGATTTCTACCACAAAGATAAACCACCACCAACCTCTTGAATTGTGTAAGTTATTGGACCAAAGAAGCTGATAAAGGCAACCCAGTAGATATAGTGTATCTCGACTTTCAAAAGGCTTTAGACACCGTTCCACATGAAAGACTTCTCCACAAACTAGACCACTACGGGATTAGAGGATCCTATATTCGATGGAGTGACTCCTTTCTTAAATGTAGAAAATACGCAGTCAGGGTCAATGGAATCTGTTCAGAACTACACCCCGTAATCAGCGATGTGCCACAGGGATCAATGTTGCATTCTATCCTCTTCCTACTCTATATAGCAGACCTAACCAAAAGTTTAAAAAGTAACTTAGTATCCTTTGCAGATGACCAAAAACTTTTCTGCAACCCATTGAAGCAATTGGATCAGTTTAAAGAGGACCTTAGTACAATTGAACGATGGACTGACACATGGCAGCTGAATCTGAACGAACAGAAATGTACAGTGCTGCATGTAGGAAAAAAATAACCCGAAGATTGACTACAAAATTAAGGGAACCAAGCTAGAGAACGTTAACCAACAAAAAGATTTGGGCGTGCACGTAAGCCAAGATTTTAAATGGGAAACACACATAGGCCGAGTTGTGAAGAAAGCGAATGAGTTGGTGTTCCTAGTACTCATACTCATACTCATACTCATTATGCTTTATTGTCCAAAAAATATAAATCTTTACTGACAAAGCGGATAATATAATATACTAATTTATATACTAATCTACATTAATAGTTATACGAATTACACAAAATCACATAAAAATCTTAAAATTCCTAAAATAAACATGAGTAAAAACGTCTTTTCCGATCACTCTATCCAAATGATCAAAAAAGTCTATACAACCTACATAAGACCCAAACTTGAGTACGCACACACAGTCTGGTACCCATATTACTGCAAGGATATAGAGCTGCTTCAACATGTGCAACCCCAGAACTGCATATGGCAGACATGTTTCAACAAAACATGAATAAAAACCTCAGAGGAGAAAACATCCTTAATGTTAAGAAAAAACTTCTTATGCAACCGCGCATTAGACCAGGATACTATAAACGCGCCTAACAAAAACATTTTCAAAAATAGACTGGATCGAAACCTATCTGAACTTAAGTCCACCCTAGTACATTAGTTCTATTATACCCAATTAAAAGAGACGACACAGAATATTGGACAGAGAAGATACGATAGACTCATCGTTGTCAAACCGCTTTCTATTGTCAAGCAAATAATAATAATAATAATTAAGGCTAATAAGGGTAATAGGGCTCATTACATAACGCAAATGCACAAAAATTAGTGACATAATAGTCACTTATTGTGCAGGTCGTAAATAAAATTATATACCTTATATAAAATTGAAATTACCAAATCTTTTATGAAACAGCCTTAAAATCAAATTATGCTAAATGATCAAAGGAAGGTACTTACCAAAAGCTCTAGCTAAACAACTAGAGGTGGTAGCCATAGTAATTGGTTCCGAGCTAGTGGCCACAGTGGTACTGCCTGTGGTGGATCTTCTCAAGGAACTAGGATCGATAAACACTAAATTCGATCCGTTGGCCAGCCTGACGCCAGTGGTTCTGCTCGATTCTCTAGATCTGATGGCCCATTGCATGTTCTGCGGTGCCAAGTTGGTGCGTTGGCCGCCGCCAGCGCCTCCCGCGGCAGTGCTGTAACGGCTTCTTTTGTGAAAAACAGAATTCAAACAGATTTAACAACACAAATTAGTTTAATTTTTTTCAATTTCACAGTTGCATGTCAAATACCAATGGATTTAGAGGAGCCATCCACTGGTGTTATAGAACTGGTAGGTCAAATAAATAGCCAATTTTAATGAGTGGGTTTAATTTAGTGTTTGTAATTTGTTTGTCAATAAATATTTATATTTTTTTGGACAATGAAGCATATGCTCATGGAATATCGAATACCTAATGATAAAAATGCTGGGAATGCAATATTTCAAGTAAAAAATTGTATCTGTTTTTTCAGTAAGTAATTTTTCACCATCCGACGTATTGAAGATAAATTATTGCAATTAATTCCATACTGGACATCAAAAAATTATCCAAACGCAAAAAAGTGACAACTAGGTAAATCAAAACATTTCAAGTAAAGTTGGCATTTTCAAATACGGTATGATCCAGATAGTACTGACCTTCGTCTCTCTAGCTGATCTTCAGTAACATATTCCTCGGTGTCGAGCTCGTCAGTGCCCGCTTCACTTTCTTCCTCCTCCTGCTGGCTAGATTCGCCGCTCTCATCTTCAGGGAACAACAGGAGACCACCTAATAAGTGAGTTATAGTGCCAAAACTACTGGAAGTGAAGGATATTCGCGAAAAGGAACTAAATCTGAATTTTGTTAAATTTTAATGCCTTATAACTTATATATGTAAATATCCTTCAAAACCAACTAAATTATCAATTTTAGAAAATAAGAATTTAAAATTCTCTTCAAATTATGGAAAAAGGTGCATTTTACCACCAAAATTAATAAGTATTTTCAAGTTTCAGCTTATTTCGAATTTTTCACAACCCAAATAAAAACAAAACACAATAAATATAAAATTATAAATGAGAATAGTCTTTTTATTTTACCTGAATCACTTCCAGCAGTCGCTCCAGTTTGTACCGACCTTTGGGCACTAGCCGCATCCTGATTACTATGATTATCATCACTATCGCTTTCAGTTTCCGCCAATAAATCCAGTTCTGGATCGGAATCTTCAGCAAGTACCCTGTTCTCTTGCTGGTCAACAGCAGCATCTTGATTTGCACCTTCTGCAAGTGAGGACGCTTGGCCCAGCATACTCAAATCACGCTCTGCTGGATTATCTTCATGTTCGGATGCTGCATCATCATCATTGTCAATTACAATATCTAGTTTTACCAATTCATAATCAAGAATAAGAAAAACGTGTTTTTTTTTTAACATACCTAAGCCTTCTGGATCAACCATGTTGAGTAGTTCACGAGCCGTTTGTGCTGATCGTCTAATGGAATCGCTCAAATAAGTGAGCGAATCAGTAGAGCTTTGGCTACTTTGCCTTGAAGTACTCGGAGCTAGTGGATCAACCAAAAATAAATCTTCTGAATTGTTGAAAACGTCAGTGGGCGACGTGGCCAAAGAAAATGGTGCCGTAGGCCTAGCTACACCCAAACGTACAGGAGCTATCAAAGAATCGGCAGTTTCACAAAGCTCTTCAATGGCCAACTTGCTTAATGATTGGAAAATTCGCTTGCACTTAATCAACGGCTGATTTTGATTGTTCAAGGCCCGTCTTTTGGCTGAAGTTGGTGCAATTTCAATACTAAAAATCACAAAAATCCTCACTACGGATCTGACAAATCTTCGTGCAATAAATTTAGCTAATTCGCTGTGTTTTTTGTCGGGATTTTTCATTTCTTTTATTAGGGTTTCCCCTAAAATATCTGTGGACATTTGGCACTTCACCAAGAAGCAATGGGTGAATTTGTCTAATAAGGTTGTGCCTGATTGGCCTGAGACGTAGGGCTGATCTGCAAACTGAAAAAGGTTTTGTTAAAAGTAGATCAAATGAGTTCACATTCAAATATTGATCTTTTAGCAGTAGTTTCAGATATAAGGGCTGTAGTTTGTTTAAAAAATTAATGCAGTTAGTTTTAAGTATACAGGGTGTGTCAAAGGAAAGTTATATTTTTCTAAAATGCAAGACCTTGTACTTTTTTGCCCTGATTTTGAAAATAAATAATTTATTTCTACTTGTCTTCATTAATTACTGAGTGAAACACTATTATCTTTTCCAGTTACTATATTAGGTATTATGCAATCTACCCATTACCTACCATATCTATCAATAATAATATAAGCATTTTCTCAGTTTTTCTTTTTTAGTCTTCTCATATAATATTATCCTCATGGAAAAGATAATAGTGTTTTTTCTGTAGGTAATAGAAATTAATTTATTAACCACAGCTAAAAAAGCCATATACTTATTTAAGTTTGTCACAATGTCTGGAAAATGACTTGAAGCTTACTTCATTAGAACTTCAGTGACATCATCCTTTCTGTCAAATAGAAAAGTTAATTTTTAACTCAAATATCCTATTAAAATAAAATATTTCAAAAAAAATAGTGATTTTAATTGAGTTCTAACCTTTTTTCCAGACATTTTAAGATATTAGTATACTTCTAATGATAGGAAGAATGAGTAATTTTATAGGTCACAGATGAGAAATTGTAATTCAAAAAAATAGCAACTCAAGCACAAAATTTCAAAAAATCCTTACTTGTAAATCACTGGGTTCTCTTGTTCCAGACATAATTAAACTTTTAACAGCTTTCCAATCAGACAAAAGACACTCCAAAGCCCGCCTACTGAACCTAGGCGGCTCCAAATCATGTTCAGGCATATCAGTTTCAATATCTGACGATGGGGTCTTGTTGCGTGAATTAGTTCTCGGACGCGATTTACTAAATTGTCTCTGCTCCTGATTCTGCCTGCCAACGGTTTGTACTAGAAACAGCAAAATACTTTCACCGCGAGAATTTGGTTGAGAAACCAAGTTGGTTTCTTTAACCAGGCGGCTCAATAGTTCGTATCTGACAGATTGATTGCCATAAATCAATGCTTTACATTTGCACTTTTCCCAGCAATCACAATAAGCAGTAGGCGAAGTTCTTTTCAACTTGCAATCGTGACCTTTATGGCAAACTCTAGCGCATTCTGTGCAGCAACACAAAGTTCCTGTAAGCCCACATGTTCTACATTCGAAAATATCCTGATTGATGTGTTCTGCTCCAGTCCACGTGAAACTACAGGTGTCATTGCAACACAAAACGTGCAAAGGAGAATGATCCGGATTTGAATCTTTTGGAAAAATCATTGATTCTCGTTCTTGCGGAGTTCCCAATTTTGTGATACGTTCAAAAATCTCCAAAGCTGCTGGGTAACTCCTGGATGTAACTGCCAACATAAACGGGGTTTGTCCTTGAGAGTCTGTGGCACTCAAAAGCTCGATTAAATGGCTTTCGTCAATGGTAGGAGATTCGAGTAGACAATGAAGGATCTGCATAGCATTTGAACGTCTTTCTGATGGATCGATAACGTTGTTAGACAGATTATGATTTTGGCTGCTGCCTTTGGTGGCTGCACTACTGCCTAGGCTCATTATACTGTCCTCATCGCCTGGAAAAGTTGAGTAGTTCAAATCAAATCGACGATTTTAATATAATGAGACAGACTCATTTTTGACACCAACATAGTACATTACATTCTTAAAAAAAAATAATGTTTTCCCTTACCTGAAGCAACATCAAAAGATTCTGGCGGCCAGCTCTGTGTAGGAATAGGATCCTCCTGAATGTACCTTACAGGATCTTCCTGAACAGAATCAGTATCCTTATTAGATGTAGGTGTACACATATTCACCACAGCGTGGAATATATTCCTATTCCCATCACATAATTCTGTTGAAACAGACAGTCTGGCTATAGGATTCACATTACTATCTTGCTCTAATTGAGCCAACACTTGCCGCACACCTTCAATATCGCATCTCAGGATTTTGGGCATCAAAAGTTGCTGTTCCAAAGCAAAAACAACCACGGCTACTTGGTTTTTCATGTTCAAACCTGTACCAGTAAGAGCCATAGTTCCTGCGGCTACACACTTCACTGGTGGTAAGTCTAAAAATTGTGGATCGCGAATTGCTTCTGCACAATCTTTAGCCAAAGGATAAATTGTGTTATTGCCGTCTCGGAGAATTAAAACTGATTCATTGCTTTCTCCAGCACAAGTAAGGTTTACAAAATTAGGGCTATGGCCCATAAAAGCCAGAGTGTCACTAGGAAATGGGTTGTCCTGTTCCACTCGTCCAGTGCTAATATTAAATATTGTGTAGCTCACTTTAGTGCTTGTTCGAACGATGGCATGAATCCCTTGTCCATCTACAGCCACAGTTAAAATTTGTCCTAAATTTTCTGACAGTTGAACCCTTTTGGGTGTACGTTGGAAACAATCTGGCACTTTGGAATTAGAGCTGGATTTCAAAACTTGCAATTCATCTTTTCTCATGAGGCGACAATCTTGGAAAATGTCATCAGATTCTTTAGCATCTTTGTCTCGAGTATTTGCAGTAGGAAAACGTACAGCAACATAAGCTCCATCAACTTTTAAGACTCTGCCTGTAGGGACATTTCGAACGTCTTCTACAAAAATCACGTCTCGCAGTTGCCACTCTTCCTCATCTTTACGTGTATCTGTGTTTACATCAGATACTGTAACTACTAGTTTTTTTTGACGTTTATGGCCAGTACTTCCTGTGTCGCTACAAGTACTACTGGCAGGAGATGGTGGTGGAGGCATATCAAGCCTATCAGTATTTTCTTTTGTGTTTGAACTTTTTGAAGTGGAAGATTCATTAAGGGCATCTTCGCTTCTTTTATTTTTATTTTTAATTGTGTACAGGCCACTAGTGGTAGATGCACTAGGTTTTTCTTCTTTATTAATGGTCTTTTCATAATTATTCATAATTTTGAATGTACAGCTATCACTTAAAGTCCAAGCAGCGTTTTGCAATTGCCCCATTTTTGGAACACCTGCAGATATAGTGAAGCCAATAGCACCTGGCTGATACATAGGGCTATTTTTCATGCAAACTTGCGAGCCTACTACAATTTCTGATTGGTTGGTCGATGGTCTTTGTTTGCGGCATTTAGCTCGGTATTTTTCCCATAAACGTTTACGTTGGGCAAATGGAAGCACTCCCCACCAGTATAAGGAACCACTTTCCAGTTTGGCCACAGTATACAATGGGCAAGTGTGCAAAGCTTCAATCCTATCATTTTGAAATTCGCTATAAGCTTGAGCAGAATGTTCCAACTTATTTGCAGCCGGGGCCAATAGTTCGTCAAGCCATGTAGCTACTTTTCCAGACTCTGTAGCTACTGAGCAACGTGTAGAACAGGCAGATAAATGAATAACCTTTTCACTTGTTAAGAGCAAAGGTATAGTTTTAGGATGGTGTATATTAGGGTTTTCGGGATGTTTATAGGGCTCGTGTTCATTCCATTTCCATTGATAAAGTTGTCCATTTGATGAGAGGGCGATTAGTTCGCTGTATAAAGTGGCAATTTGGCAAAATTTTGGCGCTGGCTCAGGCCAAAACTCCAAATCGTCTGATATCCATAGAGGACAGGCAGAATCTTTTTTTTTGTGATCTGGAAAGGGATTTTAGATTTTGAAATAAACATTTGTGATTTTTTTAACAAGTAGTTCAATAACACCAAAAAAAAGAAAAAAAATATATCTCTTAACTGGTACTTCCAGGTACCTAGGTACCAAAAATGTATGTTCTAATTAATTTCAGGGCATTCTGCTTTAGGATTAACAAGAATGAAATTGGATATTTTTGTAGATTCCAGTCTTGAAAGTTACACCAACAGCTTTAACAATTTTTTTTAAAATCTCAAAAATAGATAATAAACCATCAACTAAAAATTTCAAAAAACACTGAAAAATAATTATTATTTTTTTTTTTTTTTTAATTTTTAATGATTTTAATTTTAAAGATTCCTCTATTTTCTAACTTTATTTTTTTTTTTTAAATGAGCCATTGCAAAAATTACGGTTTTAATTCAATGTATCAAAAACTTACCATCAAAGCAAAAATCAAGTTTAAATCACTCACCAGAATCTTTTTCATAAGGACTATCCCTCAGAGCTGTTTCCAACCATTTACGTGGTCCAAAATACTGCCTTTCCCTCCATCTAGAAAAATTTTCCCTGTCTCTTTCTGGGATATTACTACCCGCGCTTCCTGGTGCTGCGTCTCTTTCAGGCGGTAGCCGACTACTAGAACCACGTACACCACTCGAGCGACTGAAAAGTTTTATTTAATAAAATTTTCAGTTGCATTCGTTTTTAAAACACTAACTTTCTGATACCAGCATAGCCAAACATGTCTTCAGAAAACATGGCATCAGCGTCAATAATAACTGAATGGTCTGAGTGAAACCCTCCATCTAGAAGAGAAATTAGGTCTTCTGGTACGTAGGAATCGGCTGCATCATCTCCTTCCTCGCCTTCTTCGTCATCACGCGATAACAAATTGTTAACTGCCAAGTTGACATCCAAATTTGTACGCTGCAATTCTCTAATGATCAGACTTCGACTTTTTCCTTGCAGAACAACTTGTGCTTGAGAAACTAATTCTTCAGGAACATATGGAGCTGGAACAGTTACCATTGGTCTACCACTGCTTGATGATGTACCAATTATGACTGGTGCACCACGAGTATCTGTTTTGAAATAGAGGTCTAATATATGCAACTTTGGTAAATGTTCAAATAACTGTTTAATTTAAGGAATAAATAATTTAAAGGCTGCTTACTGGTATTACTAGCGGTTCCTCCTCTAGTGGCACTGGGTCTACCAGGAATTAGGCGGGTATTGGCTCTGGTCCTGCACCCTCTTCCACTGCCACTTGGTTTTCCTCCAGCTCCTGGTCCAGAACCTCCACCACCTCCTGCGCCTCCGCCTCCTGCACCTCCGGAGCTGCGCAACAGCCATGATCTAGGGTTGCGAAAGTTAAGTCTAAGGTTAAAATCTTAGAAATAAAAACAGTGCCTAGCCTATAGACAATCTAGGGGTCTTTTTAGCATAAGTATATGATATCAATAGAGCTACAATGGACAACTGGATAAAGGTTTGAGGTTTTAATAAATTTATAATCATTATTTGATTTTTATTTTCATATAAACTTCATCTAAAATTTAAATTAAATTTTAAATAAAAATAATTTAGACAAGTATTCAACTTTTCCAGGATATTGAAAAAAATTGGGCAAAATAATTTACATTGAAGCCGAATAAAATTTAAAATATCACTTTTTTCAAATTCCTTTAGTAATTCTTCCCTAATTAAATCCCAAATCATACAACAATATTTGCCCCTTTGATTTTTATTCAGATTCAGAACTACTAGGTAGAAATGGAATTTACTTTAGCCAGTCTGTCCAACTGTCAATTAAAGCCAATAATGATTGGAAATAATGTTGGAACAAACTTTTTGAGTGCAAGATTGGTAGTTGACATCAATAATGCGATTACCTTTTTGAATCATTTTTGCTCAGATCCAACCTGTCAGATAAAATGTTATACGAAATTCTGCATACGCGACCGTCTTCTAATAAAAGGGCTATGTAAGTGGAGCCTAGGCAGATTTTTTTAACGCCTACTCTCAGATTTGATAGGCCTGGATGTAGGTTGTGGCCCAGTCGGTTGATTCTGTCTGCTACTTCTTTTAATCTAAAAAGGAAATTGGAACCAATTATTGAAAATTATAATTATTTAAATCAAATATCATAAAAATGAACACCACCTGCCACAAACAATAATAAAATAGACCCAATATGTGGCTTATCACCCTTGTTGTCACCCTTACCTATAAGCTTAAAATAAAAAAGAACTGTAGTATAACATACCCGGGTTCGCTCAGTAAGATAAAACAATGAGAACTTTTATTACCTTTAAACAACAAATCTTCTGAAAAACGAAATGAAGAAAAAAATGGGACCTACGGTGGAAATTTACTCAATTTTACTCACTGGACATGCGCCTGACATAGCAAATATTTGGGAAATTTAAGGGAAGTTGTGATATGTAAAAGAAACGAAAAATTTGTGAAACGTCTACTTTATTATTAAAGTAAATCGTACCGTTCTCGACCTAGAATTCTCGAGGGGAAAGAGAACGGCAGAGAAACCCTCGATCTAATATTCCTCAAAAATCGAAACATACTGTGTCATTTTAATAATAATTGTGAGTCAATAATTCAATAATTCAAGTCAATAAAAGTTTAAATTAGGTACCGTATTTGGTCTTTGTGCTAAAATTTTAATTACACACACAACAATCAATCAACACTACCTATATTCAATATTGAAGAGTTTTTTTGTTAGCCAGTTTCCCAGCGGATTCTGAGGTCCCATACGGGAAGCTACTCAGCTATAGTTGTTTTTGAGCCAATATCTCTAGATTGATTATTTCAATTTGTTAGGATATTCTCTCGTCAGGGTAGGAAAATGTTAGTAAATTCAACAAGGCCCTAATACACGCTCTAAATCCACAAAATCAAAATCTCAGCACAAAAAGACAGCACATAATTTCTTAGGTTTTAATTTACTTCTTTATCTGTGTTGTTTACAGTATGAAACGATTTTTGTTAAATACATGAACAATGCACATCTTATAAAAAATGTTATAAACAAACAAAAAATACATAAAAATGAACAAAATAATAGGAACTCTCAAAAACAAAATAACATTTAATCCACTAACCTGTGAACGCTCCTTACACACACACTAATAGCAAATTGGATTGAACAATCAATTTTAATGCAAAATAGAAATGAAAATTGAATAATGAATAATTACAGACACGCGTCTAAAGGAACCAGTCCCAGCTTGTTGTCAAGTCTCTTTAATGCCTAATCGCCTCTTCTCTTGTACTTATCCTTTTCGGTTTCCGTATCTTCGTTTTTCTGTGGTGCGCCCCGTTCAAACCTAAATGATGGCGTAGATGGTTGCAACATTTACTTTTATTAAGTAACAGATTTTTTTAAAGTTAGAATTTAAAGAAATAATATTTTAATTAGGTGGTTTTCCTCAGAACTCATTGCAACAATTTTCTCCTATTAACATTCTAGTAACAAATAAACTTTTTTTTTTATATTGTGGCCTTTTTTTCTAATAAAGGTTAAATCATAAGTAAAGAGAGAAAAGCGACTGCAAACTGGAATACACAGTAAGTATATTCAAGCCCTCAAAGAAAGGCCTACAAAAAGTTCGGGGATGAAGATGTAGCATACATCTAATTATTAATAAGAAAGTAGCTAACCATAGACCAAATGTATATTAAATCTGTGGTAAGGTTCATGTGTAAGAATTACTACAAAGAGAACATAAAGCATGGTCTAAATACTAGGAGTATTGCACAAGTAAAAGTTGAGCTCAGAACCCAAAACATACAACCTGTCAGAACCATATATACTGTGTTGGCCCGAAGGTATATAATGATTTGCCTAGTAGTATTAAGGAAAAAAAGTATCAAAGGGCTAAGGGGTAAATAAATAAATGGATAGTGAGTATAAAATTAACATTGTTACATAAATTTGCCACATACATATTAGGAATGGGTAGGGATATAGAGCTTTATTTTCTGAGTAGAATGTTTAGTAAGAATTGAAAGTGTTATTAGTATTACTGTGCTGTTGTTATGGTTATTATAATTTTATTTGCAATCATATATGTAATCTTGTCATTACTGACTTTTTAAAAATTTGGAAGTGACACTTTACGTGTGTCAATTCCCTCTTCGATTTCCCTCACCGATTTCCCTATTCGACTTCCCTCACCGATTTCCCTCACTCTAATTCAAATCAAATCAAATAACGCTTTATTGTCTAAAGAATAAACTCATTGACAAAGCCTAAAAAATATAAATTTAACCCTAAATTCTAAATCTTAGCAATACTCAATACAAAATAAATTATAGACACATAACTTAGGGCTAGTCAATTGTTCAAATATACTACAAATACTATTTCGATTAGATAAAATTAAGTTAAAATACAAAATTTACACAAAAACAGGAATACTTTTTTAAAATCTCGATATAATAGTTAAACAAAACAATCAAAGTAAAAATTAATATAAGATTAAACGACTAAAAAACATCCTTATAGAACTCTTCTAAACTATAGTATGCCTTCAATTTTAGAACGGACTTTACACATTTTACAAAACTCTTAAGATCATGGAGACCCTTCCACTCATCCGGCAAATGATTGTATATCTTTAAACTTTCATACATTAAAGAGTTTTTGGTAAAACCACTCCTGGGTATTGGTAATGGTATATTATGTCCATAACGTGTGTTGTGGATGTTGGGATTTATAAAATTTCTATACTTTTTGTGCACCAAGGAGACAGTCTCCAAAATAAAAATACATGGCAATGTAAGGATTTCTTCCTGAACAAACAATGGCCTACAATGGTCCCTAGCCTTCAATTTGCATAAATACCTAAGCGCCCTCTTCTGTAGGACAAACACAGAATTAAAAAGTTGTTTGTTACAAAAACCCCAAAATGCAATCCCATATCTCAAATGAGACTCGACAAGTGAATAATATACCGACTTAGCCATGAGTGACCCCAGCCGCCCCGTGACAATACGAACAGCAAAGCATCCAGATGCCAATTTCTTGTTCAGACACAATATATGCTCTTTAAATTTTAAATCCGAGTCTATGTGCAAGCCCAGAAACCTGCAGCTAGCCTTATTTGCCACGAAATAATTGTCCACATTCAGATCATCCAACACAAACCTAAAAGAAATAGCACTAGTTTTATTTAAATTGAATTTATTTACCTTTGCTGGCAACAATGAGAACATGTCAGGTAAAAACGTCAAAAGCAGTGAATGACACATTTTGGCATGTTTGTTTTGTTTTTTTAATATTAAAAAAATTGATTGACTAATCATAATTAATGGTGTGCTTGCAAATAAAATAGTATACAAACCTCGGAGGAAAGTTTTCATTTCTGTCTCGAGATTAATAGTCAATCTCGACGCTTCACGTCTCGATTGACTATATAAATCTCTCGACAGTAATGAAACACTTCCCTACTCGGTATGTAATATACTATTTTTATATTGTAATGGTTTATAGCTGTTGACTTGTTAGAGCAGTAAAGTAAAGGTAGATAACCTCAACTAAGTGAGTTTAATTTATCAAGGAAACCAGGGCCGGAACTCTGTAACGGATAGAGATCTTCATCCCTATCACTATGGCACTTATTGTCTTCTTCTATCTTGTCGAAATCCATAGAGAGGAGACGTCAATAGAGATAGAGAAAATATCTCTATTCGTTACAGTGTCCCAGGTCAGGTGCACATACAGTATTCTAAGTACAGTGGAAATCATTGCAATTGGCACATACTCTTTTAACGTCCCTAATATTAATTCAAAATTCTAACCAATAAATCTATTCAGTGCAGAGGTGTACGTAATATTTGTAACATTTTAATCAACAATATAACAGTACATTACCCTGCAGAAGCGTAACATGTAACATTCCAAATCAACATAGAAATCAAGAACCAAACTTAACACAAAATCATGAATTAAACTCAACACTAAATTGCTAAGCATAAATATTTTCGTCCTTTAAAAGTTTATCAAAACCCCTATGTTCACCACTGATTTATCAATGTACTATAGTGCAACATATCTTATTTAGCAAGTGTAGGAAGATAGGGAGGATTATTGCTGTAAGGGTTTCTTTTATCTATTTGTATCCACATTAAGTTGTAGTATATTTGTGTACCTTGTGAACTATTGCTGAATAAAGAAATAAATAAATTAAAAATTCTTTTTTGAGTTTTAACAATTAGATGCATGCTACATCTTCATCCCCGAACTGGTAGGCCTTTCTTTGAGGGCTTGAATATACTAGTACATACTAGTATGTATCATCTAATATGACATGGTAAATATATTGCATTGCAGTTGAGAATATTTCAAATGTTTTAATTTGTCTCAATGCTTGATCATTTACTTTAAATAAGGAAATAGTTAGGTACATACTTTCAATTACCCTCGAGAGAAAATCAAAAAAAACTAAGGGACTGCTAGGTTTATAAAAGCTAGCAGTCCCCTATAATAAAAAATATTTTTTCGAATATTTTCTTTGTATCAGAATTAGGTGCTTTTTAGGTGCTCCCAAATAGTCGAAGAAAAAATAGAATTGATTAATTATTAACTGAGTTACAGATTTTTTTTTAATTATTAGGGGACTGCTGGCTTTACGTTTACTTGTTGGTGTGTCAGAATGGCAAAAAAACTTCGGGATCTACATAATAATTAGGTGCTTTTTAGATGCTAATTAGGGATCTAATCAAAAATTAGGTGCTCCTCTAGTTTTTGAGAAAATCAAAAAAAACTACGGGACTCCTAGGTTTATGAAAGCTAGAAGTCCCCTATAGTAAAAAATATTTTTCCAAAATTTTCTTTTGTATCAGAATTAGGTGCTTTTTAAGTGCTCCTAAATAGTCGAAGAAAAAATAGAATTGATTAATTATTAACTGAGTTACAGATATTTTTTTAAATTATTAGGGGACTGCTGGTTTTACCTCTACTTGTTGGTGTGTCAGAATGGCAAAAAAACTTTGGGATCTATATAATAATAGGGTACTTGCATGGAAAATTAAATTGATTATTGTTTATTGCAAACTATAGGAAATCGAAAAAAAATAGTTACTTGTTTTTAATTTCACCCAAATATGACTGTTCCGGAAGTTATACAAATATTAAGTTTTTTATATATAGATATACTGAGCATGTAAGACGTCACAGCTCACAACGTATTATACCTAAGTTATGACGTCGGAAGGACATTTCAAAGCGTTGTATCTCCGTCAATTTTTGACTAACAAGAAAAAGAAAAAACACGTATTGACTTATTTTTCATGGACTATCGAAATCAGCAATAAAAAAATTTGATGCAAGGGGCCTATTAGGTGCTTTTTAGGTGCTAATTAGGGCCTATAATTAAAAATTAGGTGCAAAGAAAAAATTTGAAAAAATATTTTTTATTATAGGGGACTGCAAGCTTTTATAAACCTAGCAGTCACTTAGTTTTTTTTGATTTTCTCAAAAACTAAAGGAGCACCTAATTTTTAATTAGAGGCCCTAATTAGCACCTAAAAAGCACCTAATTATTATATAGTTCCCGAAGTTTTTTTCCACCAGGTTATAGACCTCAATAGGTATGTAAAATGCATATTGCAATATAAATATTGATTACATTTTTATATGCGGTAAACATGTCTCAAATCGTGCAAATGACAAAATCATTTCAAATTATCATCCACATTGACCCTATACAGATAAGGGAAAGTTTTATATGACTACTGACTATGCCAATAGTATTCCAAAACCCAATGATAATAATTAGCCCTGAAAACCTGGAATCTACAATGAAATTTGACACCTGATTGATGCAAGTCAAAATTCAACGAATGCAAATTGTATGCGAAGTAAACAGATACATGTTTGATAAGTTAACTGCGTCCAATCCACCAAAATTCGAAAGGATTTAGGTATGCAGGTACCTGGATCACACCTTTTCCAGCCCAACGTCGCTTTGCAAACAAGAAAATGCTTCTGCTTCAACATGCTTCATGTCTCATATTCATGTAGGGCGTCTACAAAGAAGGGTCATGATAGGGTCATTGCGAGGGTAAAGGTCTCAAGCGTTAAAGGTATTTTGTATTGCAAATTGAGACTACGGCCATGACATGTTTTATTTAATATATACAACAAAGGGTGGGGCCGCCGCAGCCTGTTTTATAATCGCATTCATCCAAGACAAAAAAGAAAAATGGAGGAACAGACACTAGCCATTCGTCCTCCATCATGGATGTTCATTTTCAATTTTCGTTCAAAATGCTTACCTGTCGTTGAACTGTTCTTCGGTACCTGGTAAAGGATGAACTACATACTGTAAAGAGCTCATTTTTTATCCAAAATCAAAATAGTCACTTCGGAAATGTGGAAAATTACAATCACATTCCACAGTATCACTTTATCGAAAATGCGCTGCCATGATGCTGCTTGTCGAAAGCGAAATGTATTGTCAAAGTCAAGTCAATTCGAATGTCGACGAACTGTCACCTTTGTGCTAAAGCTCGCTACAGATTATGCGTATATTCGCGATTGATGCATTTGTCGAACAAGTGCAAAAAAAATGTATCCTTTATCCTTACATGTTACATGTTTTTAGAAAAAGATGCGGTCGATGCGGATGCACTCAGTGCGCACTGATTGACAAATAGAAATCGCCATTAGTTTGTAGGGACTTGGTTGAAAATCGATTCGTTAACGACATAGTTTGTGTGTTCGCAGTGATTCGCTTTGGGAGGACGGTTAGTTGACAACCATCAAAGGCTTACGCATCAACACGAACCACTAATTCCAAGCATGCATGATACACTTTAATCGTTGTGTTACTACTACAGGATGGCCTATCCTCATAAGGCATGTGTGTAACAAATCCTCCCCACGGCCAAAATACCAGTTGTCACGTAGGCAACATGTTATTAATTTCTCGATGACGTCGGCAATGGTGGCACACTAATATGGCGGCGATTACCAAAAAAGAAACCGATGAACACAAGGATGATACACACTACTACTACAGGATGGCCTATCCTCATAAGGCCTGTGTGTAACAAATCCCCCCTACTCCCTCCTGCCAAACAACCAGTTGTGACGTAAGCAGCATGGCGTTTCGCCTTGACGTAGGCCATTTAAACAGCTGACGACTTAGTTATCACGGCGGCAATGGTTGAAAACAGTTGAAAAACAATATGGCGGCAGTTACCAAAAATGAGGCCGATAAGCACTACTTAAGGTAAGGTTTGTTAGGATAGTACGCGACGCACAACTGACAACGTAAACGTCGTCATTGGTTCAGGTATGACGTACACCCGTTTTCTGACGTCAGAAAACGGGTGTACGCTTGGTGTATGTCATACCTGAACCAATGACGACGTTTACGTTGTCAGTTGCGCGTCGCGTACTGTCCTCACAAACCGTACCTTAAAGCTACGGTTTGTTAGGATAGTACGCGACGCACAACTGACAACGTAAAGGTCGTCATTGGTTCAGGTATGACGTACAACCGTTTTCTGACATTATGGCTGACCATAACGCTGACGTCAGAAGACGCTGTACAGGGTGGTCCAAATTGGACACTTTCTTACGGAAACACCCTTTATTTTTAGAGACAGAAAAAAATGGACCCCCCACTCTGGACCCCCACTAATTGGTGCAAACCGCATTTTGATATCTTCAACCGTTCAGCCGCTAGAGGACGATTCTCGATTTTGAGCAATACCGTAAAGCCTCCATAACTTTTTTGTTTATGAAAATAATTAATTTCCGTAAAGACCTTTTGGAAGCACTTTTTCGAGCAAAATTCAGTGACGTTCTCAGTTTTTTTCTGTCTGGCTTCGATTTCGAGATATTGACCAAAACCCGATTTTTTTCAATAGGACACCCTCCCAACTAACATTTTTTGTTTTATATTGGTAATGGTTACGTTTCGATTACCTATTTTATAAATCCTGAGAACCTATCAATTGTTCGCGAAACGTTTTTGTTACTCTTATAAAACGCTTATAGCACTTAAATGGAGAATCCTATAAAGGTAACGGTGACCAAATTTTGGCACCATATAAAACTTTTATTCCCCATTTATTTGGAACTGAGAGGTTGTCGTTACCTTTATAAACTATAAATCAGTTTTATAATGGCAAGGAAAACCTTTTCGTTACCGATATAAAACCTAAATAGTCTTTATAAACACCAAACAAAAAACGCCCCCTTTTCGTTTAATCTCTTTCCATATCATTTGTTTAAAATATATTTTATTTCGAGTCGAGTTCTGTCATTAATATTTTGTTTTCACTTTGAAGTTGACAGCAATGGATTCTTGCTTTTTTATTATTATGAAAATGTTTTAAACACTAAATATTGAACTCTGAATTTTCCCATGACGACTTAATTTTATTTGGCACGAAAAATTTATCGAATAATTTTATATTTTACCCTTCCTAAAACTGAAGCGCCCTCGTTTTAAGCACATTAAAACTTATTTTTAGCAAAAACCTGGAAATCAAAACTATGCCTCATGAATTTTTTTTTGCAGTTAAAATGCAGAACATTTATTGACCGCATATTTTTGAAGAAATATGTCTTCAAGCTCAGTAATATTGCGTAAAATGCGATATTCTATCTTCTTTATGTAGATACATATTTATGTCAATAGGCTCGTACAGCATATTTTTTTTATTACATATTCTAAAAGAGCGTATGGAGTTTAGCAGTTATGCAAAATTTCATAATTTTCTGAGCCCTTGTTCATATTTAAATAAATTATCAAAGTAGGTACTCCAAATTTGAAACACGCGGTGACGTCACTCGTCACTGCATCTCTCACGTCGGTCGTCGCGGTGCTGGTACGCCAGTCACTTTGACAATACGAGCATTGCTTTGACAAATTTTGGTTTGGCATCGTTTAGACAAGTTTTAGTTTGGCATTTTATGTATCTGGTAGAAGTTTGATGTTTTTCTTCCAAATCACATTTCGTATATTTGAATAATTCCCTGAGTTTCAATATTTTATAAGCACAATTATGGAAGTAGCATGCAAAAAGAAAAATTTAAAATTTTGTTTAGTTTCGCAAACTGTGTGCCAAACTGTCAATAGAAAATCAGTTGACATTGCGTTATGCAAAACCGTGTATGACGACCTTTAGCCTGTCTCGACTCGAGAGATGCTATGACGTCACAGTAATGAATTTCCGAGGCATAACTTTTCAATATTAAAAAACGCGTAACTATTCTAATATTTATCCAATTGAGCTGTTATGTTATGTGTTATATGTGAGTAATACTCCATAAAAATGTGAAAAACCGCGTTAAAATTTTTTTATTGAACGAGCCTATTCAAAAAAACATAAAAATGGCCGCCATAAAAGGACGCCATGTTCGCCAGGTTTGCTTTTTAAAAACCTATAGTTTTATATGGGCCTTCAAGTAATATTAAACACCTTGGAAACTTTTACAATACTAACCTAGGTGTCTTATGGGAATATTGCTGTTGTAATAGAACCTAAGGTGATTTTGTGATATCTATAGGTTTATACTTTACCACAAAGGTATGCACAAAAGCCTTCGTAACCGGTATAAAACTGGAAAACCCATTGAAAACTATTAGTGCACAAACGACAAATTGTCAAATGTCAAACATGCAATCATACCTTCACTTTCAGTTATTGTTTATTAGAAAAAAGAGCCTTTAATTATTGAACTCAACTGTTTTGGAAATATTGACACTTGAAAATTGACTTTTTGCAACTTTGACAGACTGTAAAACCTGAACGGTTAATTTTAGAGTAAAATCGATTTTACATTCCTATCTTAGATTTTCATAAACTATCATTTGACACCAACTTTGAATTTAATCTATGGAAAATTCCAATTAAATTTAATCTCCGGTTAAATTCAAAGTTGGTGTCAAATGATAGTTTATGAAAATCTAAGATAGGAATGTAAAATCGATTTTGCTCTAAAATTAACCGTTCAGGTTTTACAGTCTGTCAAAGTTGCAAAAACTCAATTTTCAACTGTCAATATTTCCAAAAGAGTTTAACTTAGGTATAGGGTATATCACATGAAATCTGCTCAGAATTTTACGTAGAATCCAAATATGCAATCACATACAGGGTGTTCTATCTAAAATAGCGATGTTGCCATTGGTTTAGATTGGAAGCGGCAACACCGCATAAACAAACATATTTTTAAAGGGTAGATTATGGTCGTTTATCCCGGTTGCCAAATTTTCAAAATGATTCGCTTTTAAGTTTTCCATAAACGTCTAATACGCCATCCACCGTGGGACACCCTGTATATAGGATGTCCTATTGAAAAAAATCGGATTTTGGTCAATATCTCGAAATCGAAGCCAGACAGAAAAAAACTGAGAACGTCACTGAATTCTGCTTGAAAAAGTGCTTCCAAAAGGTCTTTACGGAAATTAATTGACCTTTTGTTTGGACGCCATATTGCGGTGCGCGAACATAGTTGCCAAAAGAAGAAAACAAAAATTACTTGCGGGCTGTCAACATTACAACACAAGAGCGAGTTCAGGAATGACACACCCCAGTGTGAGTGTGACACCGGTGCAACGTCCTAGCTGTTCAAAAATGCTAGACGGTGCTATGGGCCCAATGGCCAATTGTCAATTTAGGTACACCCATAAAATCGCATCGCACCCTATTCGTTATTTCTGAACTTGGCCCAATACAAGCAAAAGTTGATGGCTTTTCTTCTCAAAAACATTCGTAATAGGCGGCAATTTTAAATGTTAAATGTAATTTATTCAGTAACTTTTGTTTTTAATGTTGACAGAACGATAGTATTTTTTTTTTTTCTACTTTTGGCAATTATGTTCGCGCACCGCAATATGGCGTCCAAACAAAAGGTCAATTATTTTCATAAACAAAAAAGTTATGGAGGCTTTACAATATTGCTCAAAATCGAGAATCGCCCTCTAGCGGCTAAACGGTTGAAGATATCAAAATGCGGTTTGTACCAATCAAGATTTCATGAAATTTTAGCCTCAGAGTGGGGGGTCCATTTTTTTCTATCTCTAAAAATAAAGGGTGTTTCCATGAAAGTGTCCAATTTGGCACACCCTGTACGTCATACCTGAACCAATGACGACGTTTACGTTGTCAGTTGTGCGTCGCGTACTATCCTAACAAACCGTACCTTTAGAGTGTGTATTCTCCTTGGATAAACACTCCTAAGTCCTAATGCCTCATTCTCAGTTGCGCGAAATTCGCTCTTTTTGCGCGAAGTTCGCTTTTTTTTGACATTGCTTCGTTGAATTGACGTTTTATGCGTGTATCAAACGTCAAATTGTCGTTCTGTGAAATTGTCGAAGCAATGTCAAAAAAGGGTGAATTTCGCGCAAGTGAGAATGAAACTTAATGCCTAATTCTCGGAAGTACTCCGGCTACACTTTCACCCGTTCGGTTTCAAGCGTTCGAGTGCAAAACGCATGGAGTATGACAGGTCACTGACAGGTGTGAAGTGTTCTAGGAACAGCCGAAAGCAGCTCTTGGCTTTATTCGCTGAAATTCAGGCGCTAATAAGGTCCTCCTCCATAGCTTAGCTTTTCGCTCACAAATTTCTAACTCTAACTGCGAACATGAAATCACGCATCGTGCATCACGAATCGTAAACTCAACCCTACTCAACCATAGAAATTCACTCTGACTGGTTTGAGAATTCTGTACGAACAGACAGTGCTAGATACAACGATGAATCACGAATCCTGGACCCGCCGGATTCTATTTTACGAGTCGAGTCGAATTGTCTGTTATGACACTCATATCGAATCCGACAGCTCCAGACGTACCGTGGCCGGAGTCTCATGCATCCGTTTTCCGACGTCCGAAAAACCTTCTATTCTGACCGTATAAAAATATGTCAGAATAGAAAGTTTTTCGGACATCGGACGTCGGAAAATGGATGCATAAGACTCCGGCTTAATACGTATCGAAAAATAGAATCGCTGACAATTTGATACGTATTTCGACTCGTAAAATAGAATCCGGCAGCTGAATAAATGATGGTCTAGTCTGTATAGCGAGCTTACGGCGAGTTCTCATGAGTGTAAGTTGACATTTCAGACGTAATTACGTGATAATATGGTGTAATTTGATTAGCAAAATCTTCAGCATGGGATAGTGCTTCCATCTATACTTAAAGTCAAAACATTTGAAACAGAAAATTAATTTGCTGTATTTTAGAGAAAATAGTTATTTAAACAAAAAGTTATGAAATAGTGCATTATATACCTAGGTAGAGAAGTTGGTCATGATATACCGAGCGTATATAATGATTTTCTCTACCGACGGACATATAGAATTTTTTTTACTACTGCTAGTAGAAAATAAAACATAGGTTATTCAAACCTGCTCAAATTATTTTCTCTTGTCGGAAGTGCTGCCATCTATCAACAGCTTACGGTAATTTCCTATAATGTACATATAAGAACCTGCTTTTTTTAACATTGACAGTTTGACACTGAAATTAAACCAATAGAAACTTGTTATGTTATGATATCCTTGCGTCATGACGTTATCATTGACCTAGGTATTTTTTCATTATTTTCATTATTAACCTAGGGAGAGAAATTCAATTTTTCCCAGAAAAATTGATGGAATAATGACTATACTTCTCAGGTTAGTAGTAAAAAAACTACTTTACGCACTGGTGCGTGACATTTTATGTCTTCTAAAAGCTGCGTAACGTAAGTACTTTACGCGCGGTAGTGGAAAAAAACAATTGTTGCGCTTTCACTTACAGTCGGGAATGCGATGTTGTACCCATACAGGGTGATCCATTTAAATTGAGACATTTCAATATCTCGAAAATTGCGCGCGTTTTTGAAAAAAAAAAAGTTCAATAATGTCTTAAGTTCAATGGCCCACCCTGTATACCTATTGTATATCGTGTGCTGGAAACTTAAAATTACCAATTCAATTTTTCATTGCATATGAAATTTTTGCGACTAAATAAAAGAAAAAGTAAAGTCTGTTTTTTTTTTTAACGATAATTCCTCAAGTCAAAAATTTAGTAACTATGTTGGCAACACAAGCCTTCTCTACATAAAAAATTTGAAAGCATCGACAATTTAACATTGTTTTGCCAACATAATGTCATTTTGACTTTCATCTTCAAAAAAACGCAGACTTTAAAAATTCCGCTTCTACCCTTTGCGAACGAAAATAGAAAATTTCCTCAAAGAGGCAAAAAGGGGATAATTCCGTCAAGCTGGCAACACTGTGGCTGACTCGTTATCAAACGCAAGGATATCAACAAAGCATTTGATAGGTTGGATATAAGCCCCGCCCCTTTCCAATCAGATGCGAGTGATATTAGCAGGGCACTCAATTGGTTAGTTGAGCCCCGCCCCTTTCCGGGGTTTATGTATCGTCAAGGTATTTGATTGGTTGTTTCGTTTTCAACCCTTTCCAATGGCTCCGGCCCACCTACAGTGACTTAACCTTTTCAAATAGAAATTCGGTACCGCCGCCATATTCTTGCAAATTTTGAATATGAATATAGAAGTTAGCCACGCCCTCGCCGCCATATTTTTGCAAATTTTTTGACCTATCGTCTAGGACTCCCCTAAAATAGTTGAGGTTTATAATGCGTGAGGTATATAATGACTTTCTCTACCGAGGAATATATAGATTTTTTTTTGGAAAATGAATAATTTATAATCTGTGCTCTAATTATTTTTTTTGAAGGCCCTCTTGAAAGTGGTGACCTCTAACAACAGCTTACGATAACTTTCTATATACCTACAGAAACTTGTATTTTTTTTTTATTTGACGTATGAAATTGAAATTGAACCAATAAAAACATGACAATATCCTTGCGTTATGACGTCATTTTCATTATTAACCTAGGTATTTTTTCATTATTTTCATTATTAACCTAGGGAGAGAAATTCAATTTTTTCCCAGAGAAATAGATTGAATAATTACTATTTCTCAGGTTAGTAGTAAAAAACCGACTTTTTTCGCACAGCGAGACAGTTTGTTGGACTGAGCCGTAGGCGAGTTCCACAAAGCGAGCAAGTGTGGAAAACGGTTTTTCTACTACCGTGCGTAAAGTACTAACTTTACGCGCTATTGAGAAGACGTAAAATTTCACTTCACGCACTAGTGCATAAAGTAATTCACTTCACGCACTCAGTGCCGGATTTACCGATTTGCCGCCCTACGCCTGTTCGAGCGCCTGTTTTAGGCGCGTAGCCAGAAAATTCAGATGGGGTGGGGGTTTCGCTATTGAAATTAAGAAACATTGCATGACCAATGACCATAGAGATGTCAGAAAAAAAATTGCGACGCAGGCGAAAATTTTGTAGAATTTCAAGGTCAATGCTTTATATGAAAAGAATAAAATTTTGAGGGTAAAAAAGTATATGCTAAAACATAGGTCTCGTGGTTTTTAATTATATTTTCTGATCAAGTGGGGGGGGGGGGGTTTAACCCCTAAAACCTCCCCCGTAGTTACGCCCCTGGCCTGTTTGGAAAGGACTACATAGCCAGGCATTTGGAGGCGGACGGGGCAAACTTAACAGGGACGCCAGGATTAAACGCAAATAATTTTGGGTGCCACGCCCAAAAACGTTTATTTTGAGCCTTTTTTCATTTTTTTTGTTCTGTACTACCTACATTTTATTACCTAAACTTGGTATAGGTACATTATTTTGATCTGTGTGTGGTCTTTTGTTCGATTCATTTTTTTTATATGCACTTTTTATTTTTAAAACCAGTGTTTACAGGCTCTGTAATTTTTTTTGGTAGGTATCTGTTCTTTGTGCTTTGGATCTTCGGCTTTCTTTTCCCGATTATTTTTTGTCTTTTTTGATTCTTTTTTTTTAAATTTTGCCGCTTCCCCAGATTTGCCGCCCTACGCCTGTGCGTACTGTGCGTATAGGGAAATACGGCACTGCACGCACTAGTTCGTCAAGGGCCATATTCTCCGTAGTTCATAAAGCCTGGCTTAGTGGAAATGCTTGGCTTTTTGTGTGACAAAGCCGAGCTTTTCCACTAAGCCAGGCTTTATGAACTACGGAGAATATGGCCCCAAGTAATTCACTAATCACTCCAAACACTAGTGCATCAATGACAGATGTCGACACTGTCAATTCAATATTTTTCTGGTAAATTACTTCACGCATCAGTGCTTAAAGTGAAAATATTCACTTTACACACTTGTTGCATAAATAACTATTTCAAACGAGTTTGTTACAATGCTTTTCCTACAACTGCAAAATGAAACATCCAAATACGTAATTTTTATACCAAAATAGATAGAAAATTAATAAGCAGCTTGTGAAAAACTTTTTCGCAGTCTCTATTTCCAGAGGTTGCCTAGCGTGTGAAAAACTCCATTTCCAGAGGCAGTTGTAGGAAAAATTCTAAAGTACGACCTTAGTGCAAACAGCTGACGACTTGTTAATGACGTCGGAAATGGTGACACACCAATATGGCGGCGATTACCACAAACGAGGCCGATAAGCAATTCAGTAGTGTGTATTATTCTAGTGTGTTATCCTTGCATTTCAACTTGTTTTTTATCTACTTGATCCGAACCATTTCTGTATCGACTTCGGAACAAAACGAGTTTACCTCGCGGCCATTCGTTCCAATCTTATCATTTCAGAACATCTCGAGCAAATCTTTTTCTTCTAGCTTTAAAATGACAGCTCGAAGATTACCCTGAGAGTTCAGTGCACATTTTTTCTTTGTTCGGTTTGATCCAGATCATGTTCGAGCAAAATTTTGCGTGTTCGATTACGAGCCGGAATGGAACCGCAATACGTCTCTACTACGCCTGCTCATTTTCATAGCTTACGATACAAAGCTGCAAAACTATCTTTTTAATTGAATGAAATGAATTTAAAGAATTGCGCAAGATTGGGAAATTATTTTTTCTTATCGCAACAAAATTACGCCCACAAAGTCAATGAATCCTTCTTCGAATCTCAACACTCCGGACTACTTCCAAGAGTGTCAAATGCGTCACGAGTGACGTCAGTTTCTGACTCACTCCAAAACCTTTGACAGCGGATTATTTTTTTGCACTTGCCAAAATTCTTCATAACGAGTGGCTGTGCTATCTAGGTGTGGGGCTGTGCAGGGCGAAAAACCATAGTTTTTGATTTTAGGCCTAAGCTTTTATGTTACAAGTATTGTAGTAAGTAAGGTAAGTACTTAATTCGAATGTATTTAAGTTGAATCAGCAGTTTTTAGTATTTTGCTTATTACATAATGTGCAAATACCTTTCTATCGATTATCAGGATTTAATAATAATTGTTGTTATTTTCTAATTAAAATCAATAGAAAAACACGTTACTTTGGTAGCTGGTACAAAAAATTATTAAATAAGCCTCAAAAAATATTGGTAGAATAGAGCATTTTTGAAGGAAAAAAAAACTGACCTACGACCAACAACAATTTGCCAAAAATATTTGATTTTCACGTGATGTAGGTGTTGTGTTTTATTTATAAATCCAACTTAAAATTTTAGCTTCTTTAACTTTGCATAGGTAACCAAATTTCAATTTTTAAGGTCAGTTTTTCTAGGTTAAGGTTAGCATAAAGATTTTTTAGAAAGGAAATTCAATAATTCAACTACTTGTTGCTTTTGTAATTATTAAGTACCTACTTAAATTCTCTTATAAGCAACAACATTTTTTTTCCAGCAAAACACTGGTACAAACTTAACCAAATAGGATGCACAGAGCAAGGACTTTAGTGAATGCAATATCGGGGCCGCCTGGGCAAAAATTTGCCTCCTGGCTCATCAAGAATTCTCCCGTAGCCAGCTTACAATGTAGAGACTATAATGTTCCAGCTACCGCAGAACCCTTTCTCAATGGCGCCTCCAGTGCTTATGTGGAGGACATGTATAATGCTTGGCTGGTTGATCCAGCTAGTGTACATGCGGTAAGAATTTATGTCTAAACAAAAACTTGACCTTATTTATAAATTGTCGAGTATAGTTCTTTTGAATCTGGATCAAACAAACCCTTTATCTGGAAAAAAAGCAAACATTTTCAACTTTAAAATCAATTTAGGTTGGTTTTGTATTTGGCAAAAACATAGACTATTAAAGCAAGACCCTATAACTGTGTGCATAAAAGTTAATTACCTAGAATGGTTTCTATATTTTATAAGTTTATAAACTCCAATGTCACATTTGAACTTTATTCTAAAAATACTTGTATTTATTTTTGATTAGTGGCTATGCTACATGTAATATATTGATAAAATAGAGGTGGTTTTCTTGATGGCATATAGCCAAATCTATTATTCAGTAGCGAGTCAAAATATTGCAAGGAGAATAAAATATCCTTGATAATATTTTGTCTATTATGAGAAATAATTAGCGCTTGGCCAGCAAAAACAAAAATAATCTAGTGGAGTACCTATTTGCGTTGCTGGTTATTTACCATATTTAAATATATTTTTTTTTTGGCTATTGCCCATTTAGGGTTTGAAAGTAAAGTCTCTGGAAGAAATCTTCAATCTCTGCATACTGTTAGGAAGTTCATAAATTCGGAATGGTTCAACGATTATTTCAATCTTTATCCAAAAATGTATAAAAAACTAATTAGGGTAGCAAAAAGGCAATATTACAGTGGGCGCGTTAACAATGCAAATAATGCTGTTAGGGTGTATTGGAGAATAATTAACGAACTTTGTGGAAAAACAAATAAATCGACAAACAAAATACAATTGAACCAGAGGAACTTAGTAACTTTTACTGTTCCATAGCAGGTAACTTAACGAAAAACTTGAAAACAAATCGTGATCCGGTTACCTTCTTGACGACATTTTCAGTCGAAGAGTGTTTTCATTTGACACCAACAAATGTGGATGAACTGAAAAACATAATTATTGATATAAAATAAACAGAATTCCTCGGGTGTTGATAATCTATCTATAAAATTTTTTAAGAATCTCCCTGAAGCAGCACTTACTGAGTGTATAAATCAGTCTTTCACAGCGGGAATATTTCTGGACTGTTTAAAACTTGCCGTGATTATTCCCATTTTTAAGGAACGCGACGAAACAGACCCCTCTAACTATCGCCCTAGTTTCTCTGCTGACAACTTTATCAAAGATATTCGAGTAGATTGTTAAGATTAGACTTTTGGAATATTTGGAGGAAAACAACATATTGCATCCAGAGCAATTTGGTTTCCAGGAAAAGAAAGGAACGCACGATGCCATTTTTATGTTTCTTGAAAATCTTTTTCTGGGATTACCTAAATGATGGAGAAAGGGTCGCGGCAGTGTTCTGTGATTTCTCTAAGGCGTTTGACTGCGTGGATCACAGGATACTGCTGAGGAAGCTTGATCACTGTGGTATTAGGGGGAAGGAATTGGATTTGTTCGACAAAGACTCTGAAAGAAAAAGAATAACTCATGGTGTACCTCAGGGATCGGTACTTGGACCAATACTTTTCTTAGTCTATATAAACGACATGGCAGACCTGCCCATTGTAGGTCTTTTTGTGATTTTCTGATCTCTCTGTTCATTAGTAGATACCATCGTAATGTTATTACGTTTGTAATCATTAAGGGGATTATTGTACAAAAGTAGGATGAAAATTTTTTAGAGAAAGCTTGTCTCCTTTTTTATCATTTGGGAAGGTGTGGGCTTCTTTTCATTTCTCCAGGACTCTCTCGCTACCCATCAAGTTAGTCATTGCTTGTGCAAGGGGCGGGCTGATAGGTTTTCCACATTTTTACAAAAATATTGTTGGAATGTTGTCAGGACCTGGGCTAGAATCTTTCTTGAGGGCGAGAATCGACTCCCCAACGCGTTTTGTTGGTAAGGTAATTGATTCACCAAGTCTGACATATGTTGGTTGATTGCGACATAGTCAGCAGTCCAGAAGTTTATTTTCCTAACAGAATGAGTCTCTTTAAATTATGCATTCAATTGTGTATGTGCTCGTATGACTAGATGACCACTAAGTCCTATAAGGGGTTCACTGCAGATGTGTGAAATTTTCTTGTCATTTACCACTACTAAGTCAATGATGATGAACTTCTCTAAATCTGGTGGGGAAACTAATCACTTGGTAAGCAACATTTACAGCAAGTAACAAATCCAATGACTCCGGAAAAAGTTGAAACTGCAGTAAAATCACTTAAAGTTTCAAGTCCAGGGCTCGACGAAATTCCTCCTGTTTTCTCAAGAACTGAATCCAGGTGCTAAAAGGGACACTAGCTGACATGCCTAATAACATTGCAAGAACAGGGGAATTCCTTGCAGCATGGAAAAAAGCAGTGGTGACGCCTATTTATAAAAAGGAAATAAACAGCATGCAGAAAACTATCGACCTATTAGTTTAACGAGTACACTGTGCAAATGTATGCAGAAAATAATCACAAAAGAGCTCACCCAATTTTTTATGGACACACGAGTCATACCAGATCATCAGCACGGCTTTTTTCCCGGGAAATCGACAATTACAAATCTCCTAACAAGACTCAACCACTGGACACTGTCAGATGACAACCACGAACCAATCCATGTGATTTATCTTGACTTCCAAAAAGCATTTGACAAAATACCAACACAGTTCCTAATATACAGGGTGTCCCACGGTGGATGGCGTATTAGACGTTTATGGAGAACTAAAAAGCGAATCATTTTGAAAATTTGGCAACCGGGATAAACGACCATGATCTACACTTTAAAAATATTTTTGACCATGCGGTGTTGCCACTTCTACTCTAAACTAGTGGCAACATCACTATTTTAAATGGAACACCCCATATTTAATTGCATATTTGGATTCTACATAAAATTCTGAGCAGATTTCATGTGATATACCCTATACCTAAGTTCAACTGTTTTGGAAATATTGACAGTTGAAAATTGACTTTTTGCAACTTTGACAGGCTGTAAAACCTAATTGGTTAATTTTAGAGGAAAACCGATTTCACATTCCTATCTTAGATTTTGATAAACTATCATTTAACACCAACTTTGAACTTAACCAGAGATTAAATTTAACTGAAATTTTTAATCATGGATTTAATTCTAAGTTGGTGTCAAATGATAGTTTATAAAAATCTAAGATAGGAATGTAAAATCGGTTTTCCTCTAAAATTAACAGTTCAGGTTCTACAGCCTGTCAAAGTTGCAAAAAGTCAATTTTCAACTGTCAATATTTCCAAAACAGTTGAACTTAGGTATATGGTATATCACATGAAATCTGCTTAGAATTTTACGTAGAATCCAAATATGCAATTTAATACGTGGTGTTCTATTTAAAATAGTGATGTTGCCACTAGTTTAGAGTAGAAGCGGCAACACCGCATGGTCAAAAATATTTTTAAAGTATAGATCATGGTCGTTTATCCCGGTTGCCAAATTTTCAAAATGATCCGCTTTTTAGTTCTCCATAAACGTCTAATACGCCATCCACCGTGGGACACCCTGTATAAAGTCGAACACGTCGGAGTTAGGAGCAATTTACTCCAGTTGATCGAAGGATTCCTCACAGGAAGAACTTTTCAGGTGCGTCTGGGTCCAACACTTTCAAAAGAGCACAGAGTGCATAGTGGAGTATCACAGGGATCAGTTGTCGGTCCTCTACTCTTTATTGCCTATTTCAGTGATCTCTATCTAGGGCTGGAAACAAGAAATGCATCTTTTGCCGACGACGGAAACATTTATGGAAATCCACTTTCGCAACATACTGCTATTCAGAGAGACCTAAACAATATCAAAGAATGGACACAGCTATGGAAAATGCCCTCGAATAATTCCAAATGCACAGTCCTACATATTGGCCAGGACAACCCTAAATTGAATTACTTTTTTGAACAGTTTCAAATAACACCTATCATACAACAGAGAGATCTAGGAATCACTGTAACCCAGGACTTGAAATGGGAAACTCACATCACGCAAATGACCAAAAAAGCCTATTCAATGATTTACCTCATACAAAAATCATTTAAAGACCTCTCCAAAGATATGATACTAAAGCTACATAAATCATATGTCAGGCCAAGAGTGGAATATGCACAAACTATTTGGAATCCTTACTATGCTAAAGAAATAGAGCAAATTGAGATAGTACAACGAAGAATAACTAAGCTGCCTCCAGACCTTCATGAACTGCCCGATGAGGAACGATTAACCCAGCTAGACCTAACTACCCTAAAAGATAGAAGAATGAGGGGAGATCTCATTGAAACTTTTAAAATAATGAATGGGCACTATGCATGCGGCTTAAAAGAGATCTACCACCTCAACCAAAACACCAATCTCAGAGGACACAATCTAAAGCTTTCCAAGGAGAAATGTAACAAGCTAATGAGAAGAAACTTTCTAACAAACAGGGTGGTTTATCTCTGGAACAGTCTTGGTAATAACACTGTCACGTCAACAACAAAGAACCAGTTCATAAATCGTTTAGACCAGGAAATGAAGAACCAAAGCACAACGTTCTTTGTGCACTATACTGTATGAGGCAACTAAGTTTCAGGAGGACTATTAAGACCGCAGAGGCTCTTTTGACAAGAGCAATGCATGACTTCCCACAAATCTCTAATTTTTAAACAACAATCAAATAGATTCAGCAGTTTCATCGGATTTATTCCATCTACTGCAGATACCCATAATAATAATAATAGTAAAGCTTTCATTGTCTGATAAATGTAAAGAAAATTGCTGGATGCTAGGTTAAAATGTGTTAGCGTTAAACTTTTACAGTCAATCCTGGGGGGGGGGGGGCAGTTGAAGTCGCCTTTGGAAATATCACTGTAACCTCTTGATAATTTCACTCTTAAATATAATTTTTGAAGTCGGTGCATTTCATACAGTCAATGCAATTTGCTGGCAGCAATATGTAGGTTATTTTGGTTTGGAACATAAAGGCAATCTGCTAACAGCAAATAAATAACTAGCCCCAGAAATACTATAGAGTGCATCATAGATCTGCAGGTAAAGGTTTTATGTTTGAAAGTCATAGCTGCTGTTGACTCCTCGACAAGTCATAATTGCTCCTCAGTTTTGTATTCATCAAATATTTTATTTGTGTGTTACTAGAATTTTAGACAGGGAAAATATATTTCAATAGCAATATTTAAAATCACCTCGAAAAGAAATCAGACCATGGTAATAAAAAAAGGTATTTATTATTTAGTATGAGTTATTGAAAATTGCCCTTTTTGAACAAATGATAATACCCAGTAAAAGCTTATATCATCTACTTGATCATACAGGAAAAGTGAGATATAGGTACTCCTAGACATCTGAAACTATGCTCTTCAAGAAGCTTATTATAGAGGAATATTACCATTATTTGTGTTCACTCAATATTTTTGCAAATATTTATTTATTTTTCCAAATATTTACTAATCTAGAATTTCTTTTAGTCTTGGGATGCGTTTTTTCGTAACTCCCAAGGCGGTGGCCCTGGTTACACCTCGCCACCGTCACTGGGTCAACCAGGCAGAAACGAAATGCCCCTAGGAGCACTTATACCGAGCCTCGGAGGCGCTTCTTCTGTTGGAGTTGGAGGAGTAAACGAAAAAGTAATTGACGATCATTTGGCTGTTCAAGCTATTATCCGAAGCTATCAGGTATGAATTTGTGATCTATTTTACTAATTGATGAAGTACATTATTATAAAAGCATGTGTGGGTATTATTGGCCCATCCCTAAGCTTTATTGAATGTTTATTTCTTTGCTTATATTATTTGTTTTAAAACAAAATCATCATTGGTTTCAATAGCAACGTGGTCATTTGGTAGCCAAGTTGGATCCGCTGGGCATTATGTTTTCAGATCGAAATGCTACCATTAGCGATCTGATGGGTTCTGCACCATCTGAGGTTATTCGTCAACATAAACTGGGTAAAGCACTACGATTATCATTTGAAAGAAGCAGTCAAATTGTTCATTATAACCTGAACAAGTTTAATGAACAAATTTGGACTCCACATAATGCATTATTGAAAGAAACATTAATGGAAAAATATATCTTCGATTTGGGTTAATAATTGCAGTTTGAAGCATAAAATTGTTCATATTGTATAAATAAACGTATTATTTTGTTTATTTTATAGTAATTTGAACAATAGGAAAAATTATTCATAATCTACCTACAATATTATATTTATCTTGTTCCTGGCTCGCTTCCTGGTGGTCAGATAAGATTTATTTTATCACATTTTGAGTTGATTTAATTAACATAGATAATGATCTTTTGCACAATATCGCTTTAGCTTTGATTGCACGCAAATTATTCATACTAATAATGTCACAATACATATTCAATTTAACAGCCAATCAATAAAATAATCAATCATTGTTTTTATGTTAACTAACATTTTGGCTTGGCTTGTAAGTTGCTCCTAGCAGGAAGATGCTTGAAAATGCTTTTAAAATCATGCTTTATTAGGTAAGATTTAATATTTAAAAAAAAAAATGCTCACAAATGTGTAGTAGAAGGTGTTGGCAATGTTGTTTCTAGATCCGGGGCCATCACATCGCCAACTTGGATCCGTTGGGAATCAATAGTGCTGACCTCGATGACCAAACGCCGCAAGAGTTGATTTACAAAAATTATAATTTTGGTAAGGGCCTGAATCTGTTGTGAAGATTTTTTGTTTTTTTTTATTTATTTATTTTATTCATGTAGCCAGTTGATATGGCATTGGATTTTTTTATTATTGAAAAGTTATGGTGGCAAAGTCACAAGAGAAATAGTTAATTTTGTGCTGATGTAAAACAGCCTCAAGTGGTACAATTCAGTGGCAGATCTGCCCATTGATAATCCCTTCTGGTTTTACCTAAGAAAGATGACTTCTAACCTTATGGTCACCAGGGTTTTATGAATATTGTAATGTGTGAAACATCTAATGTGTTAGAAAACATTTGAAAAATAACAATGAACTAAAGTAATACATTTCAACTAAGTATAAATCGCGGTAAAAATCCAGTGGTAGATTCAATAATAAAATAAAATATCAACATCACAGAGAAATGGAAATTCGAATAATTAAAGTAAGTGATGCATGAGTTACACACAAACAAAAAAAGTTGTTATATGACAATAAACTTGCACTATGAAAAGTTTTAGTTTGTTCAATAAGCGTAGTTTCTCTAGTATTTTTGTTCTAATAAATTATCGTTACATTGTAACATTACTTAACTACACTACACTACACTACCTCACATTTGTTTATGTTCTCACATCATTTTGCTTGTTTTTTTTTGTTCTAACTTTTTTTAGACAGCCCTTCTAGAACGTATTCAGGAGAACTGCGCAGACAGGTTCGGGAACTTATGCGACGTAAGCACTCTGTTTATTTTTATTTTTTTCTTATTATTTTTAATTTTAGTAGTAGAGGTTTTGGTAGTTTTGTAAGTAGTAGATATTTTTGTGGCGGGCGACAATTCCAAGAAATTTGTAAGTAAGTATGTAATTTAGTAGCTTCAAGCACCATTTGCCTTGTGTAATTAGTGAATGTCAAAACCACCTCGAGCCTCTTAAAATTCTTCTTTTCCTTTTCGTTTCAGTTTGTACTTGAAAAAACTTTGAATTTTACCCAGGGCTGAGAAGTTCAGATGCTTCATCAAAAATCATTTGAAGGAGCTACAGTTTTTACGATTCAATTGTCATGCTCAGTTACCTACTTGTTCTTGGGTAAAATTTAGTTTTTTTCAAAGGAACTTGTAAAGTGGTCTTAACTACGTCTTTTTTGGTTGTTTTAGACTTGTATTTTCAAACTGTTTTTGAACCCAAATTTTAGATTTGATTAATCCAAATAAGTACATAATGTTTCTTTTATCGTATTTAAATGTTTAAATTTCTAATTTCTTTCCATGTTCTTATTAGATGAAACTGATATGGACAGAGTGTTCAAACTCCCATCAACTACGTTTATCGGTGGAAAAGAAAAATCCTTGCCTCTAAGAGAAATTTTACGACGTCTAGAATTGGCTTATTGCAGACACATTGGCGTCGAATTCATGTTTATCAACAGTTTGGAACAGTGTAACTGGATCAGGCAAAGATTGGAATCTCCTGGATGTATGGAGTTGAGTCCTGAGCAGAAACGATTAATTTTGGCTCGTTTGACCAGAGCAACAGGGTAAAAATCATCTACTGTTCTTGTAACAAATATATGTATAAATAATGTTCTCAGGTTTGAGTCGTTCCTCTCTCGTAAATGGTCATCAGAAAAACGTTTTGGTTTGGAAGGTTGTGAAATTTTAATACCGGCCATGAAAACTGTTATAGATAAATCGACAGAATTAGGCGTGGAAAGTATAGTGATGGGTATGCCACATAGAGGTCGCTTGAACGTGTTAGCCAATGTCTGCAGGAAACCTTTGTATCAATTGTTTACACAGTTTGCTGGATTGGAAGCTGTTGACGATGGATCTGGTGACGTCAAATATCATTTGGGAACCTACATTGAAAGGTAAGAATAACAACTTTAATATGTATTTGATTCCTGATTGTTTTGTGGTTTATGGTAAAGCTAGGATTTGTTTTATAGTTTTATCTATCATCAAAGCTTAACTTTAAGTGATTTTCCAGTTAATGGTAAAACTGTATCATTTTTAGATTGAATCGTGTTACAAACAAGAACATCCGTCTTGCTGTTGTGGCTAATCCCTCTCACTTAGAAACCGTAGATCCTGTAGTTGAAGGCAAAACTAGAGCTGAACAATTCTACAGAGGTGATGGAGAAGGCAAGAAAGTCATGTCCATGCTACTTCATGGTGATGCTGCGTTTGCCGGTCAGGGTGTAGTATTTGAAACTATCGGTCTTAGTGAATTGCCAGATTATACCACTCACGGAACTGTACATATTGTTGTTAATAATCAGATCGGGTTCACTACTGATCCTAGGTATTCGAGATCTTCACCATATTGTACAGGTGAGAATTTATGATCTATCTATTTCCATATTTTTACTGCAACTTCGATTCGCAAATAGTATAATTTCTTTATAAAACTAAAATATTGGATTAAAATTTAAGTGAGTGGTTATGGTTTACAGATGTCGCTCGTGTTGTAAACGCTCCAATCTTCCACGTGAACGCTGACGATCCAGAATCAGTTATCCATGTATGTAACATTGCTGCTGATTGGAGAGCAACGTTCCATAAAGACGTTGTCATTGATTTGGTGTGTTACCGTCGCTACGGTCACAATGAACTTGATGAGCCAATGTTCACACAGCCGCTTATGTACCGTAAAATCAGAAGCACTAAGCCTTGCTTGGACAAATACGCCGACCAATTAATAGCTGAAGGCGTTGTCACTGATACTGAAGTCAAAGATGTCAAAGCAAAATATGATAAAATTTGCGAAGAAGCTTTGGACACTGCCAGGAAGGAGACTCATGTTAAATTCAAGGACTGGATCGACAGTCCTTGGTCTGGATTTTTTGAGGGAAAAGATCCTCTAAAGGTAACCAATCGTTTTACGAGAAAAAAAAATCACCATCATGGAAGATTAACTACCATATTACATAATAATCATTTTCATCATTAAAGTTGTTGTTTGAAGTTTGATTTTTTTGAGGTGGCAACAACTGGAATAGTGGAAGACACTCTAGTACACATCGGCAAAAGATTCTCATCCCCACCACCGAATGCGGCTGAATTTATTATCCACAAGGGTATCGAGCGTATTTTAAAGTCCAGAATGGAAATGGTTGAAAATAGGGTGTGTGACTGGGCGCTTGGTGAAGCTATGGCTTTTGGTTCTCTACTGAAAGAAGGTATTCACGTTAGATTGTCTGGACAGGATGTGGAAAGGGGTACTTTTTCGCATAGACATCACGTTTTGCATCATCAAACTGTCGACAAGGCTACTTACAGGTAAATATTTTTTTGTAAAAAATTGAGGTATAAAACTTAAATTTTCAGGCCGCTTTGCAACTTATACCCTGACCAAGCCCCCTACACAGTTTGCAACAGTTCTCTATCCGAATATGGCGTCCTTGGCTTTGAATTGGGTTATTCTATGACCAACCCCAATGCGCTTGTAATTTGGGAAGCCCAATTCGGCGATTTCTCCAACACTGCTCAGTGCATCATCGACACCCTTTTATCCAGTGGTCAGTCAAAATGGGTCAGACAAACTGGTCTGGTAATGCTGTTACCACATGGTATGGAAGGTCAAGGCCCCGAACACTCTAGTGCGCGTCTGGAACGGTTCTTGCAAATGTCTTCTGACGATCCCGATTATTTCCCACCGGAAACTGAAGATTTTTCTGTGCGTCAATTGCACGATATTAACTGGATTATTACTAATTGTACCACTCCAGCCAACTTTTTCCATATGATGAGACGTCAAATTGCTTTGCCGTTCAGGAAACCTTTGATTGTTATGACACCCAAGAGTTTGTTGAGACATCCCGAAGCTAGGAGCTCATTTGATGAAATGACTGAAGGTAATTTTCACTTAAAAGATTGGTCTGACTAAAAAACGATTATTTTTGTTTTTGTTTTTAGGTACTGATTTTAAACGAATCATCCCCGATGAAGGCAAAGCTTCACAGAATCCTGGCGGAGTGCAGAAATTGATCTTCTGCTCTGGAAAAGTTTACTATGATCTGTTGAAAACAAATAGAGATCTGGGAATTGATGATAAAATCGCTCTCACTCGTGTTGAACAGGTAAGAAATTCAATATCATAAATAAGTATACTTTGAAATTAAACTAATCAGCCAAAATATTCAATTTTGTGGCAAACATTGTTTTTGGAGAAATAGAAATACTTTTGATTGTGTCTTGAATTTGTAAATAAATAAATAAATAAATATTTCTCAAAGCAGTTAAAATAAAGTATACTTACACAGCAGGCAAAAGGCTTTCATACAAACACTAGTATCTCATTTCTTTTTCATTTTCGTCCCAAAATATGAAAATTCTATGCTTTCCTCCCTATAAAATATTGACAGTATCGGTTCAAAAATAAATAGTCTAGAAAATTTTCACCTTTTCCTAATATATATTTTTTTCTTATACAGTTGACACCATTCCCATTCGACTTGATCAAAAAGGAATGCGAGAAATATCCAAGCGCTCAAGTTGCCTGGGCTCAAGAAGAACACAAAAATCAAGGGGCTTGGACTTATGTCAAACCCAGATTCGAAACTACTTTGGCTGGCCAACGAGATGTCATGTAAGTCACAAATATCGTACACAAAGTTTGTTTCATAATCGTGAAGATATGATTTTTGGTATGGATGTTGTTCATTAGCATTTTTTTTTTCTGGTGTGTTTTAGTCCATCTAAAAAAGGTTGGTTCAGTAAATTGTTCGGCAATGACGAGCCAAAACCCAAGGAGACCAAACCTGATCCAAGGGTTATTAGGTAAAAAAAAATCATATCTTCATTTTGTGTTTAAAAAGTAGATTCATAGGATGCACTTGTAGCTTCTCTTTTAGCTTGATAGTAAAAAATATGTTTTTAGTGCAGCTTCTTTTCTAATCATGTGAACTTGGGAAGATTGTGGACAAATGGGATGGGCTAGTTTTTTCACTCTGAAATTTTACAGGATCTATAATAATGATCTCACAATTTTTTTATTTTATTTTTTAAAATCTGGTATCCTGAGACTCTTGTGAGGCAAGATGTTTTAAAGATTTAAATTTTCTATAATTTTAAATCATTAATGTGAACTGGACGTATGATTCTTCTATTACGATTAATTGTTCCAGCTTATTAAGATATAATCATAGCCAAAATCTTCCTAGTTCTTGTATGTTGACCCATTATTTTTTATTTATGATTTTATATTGACAAAATCTATTCTTTTTTAGCTATATTGGTAGACCTGTTTCTTCAAGCACAGCCACAGGTAACAAACAGCTTCACTTGAAAGAATTGAAAAATTTACTTGATGACGCAACAAGGCTGTAAGCGAAAACAATTAAAATTTTATTTATGTTTTAATTTATTCTATACATATAGTGTTCCCCTTTAAAATGGAAAACAATATTTCTTAGAAAAATGCTAAAGTGTGCCTTTTGAATATTTTTCCAGAGAAGGAAAGCCTTGTTACAGTTACATGTTTAACATCACGAAAAACTTTTTTTTTATTCAAAAGGCCACCCCATTAATAGAAAATTTTCTCAAGTAAAAATAACTTAGTCTTTTAAAATTGCACCAATTATACAGATAATCAAATCTATAGATGTAATAAATGTACATAGATAGAGAGCACCACTGTTATTTTTCTCAGTTGTTGTACATTTTTGACAAATTAAAGTCGGAAGTGTGTTTTTAATTAGAACCATTGAAGTATTCATTTAGTCAAGGAAAAAAAAAACTATCCCAATGGTTATGGTATTTCTTCAAGTATTTTAAAATTTAATGTTATTTATTTATTGTATTTTTTCGAACGAGATAATAAATTTGTTGCTTTATCATAATGATATTTTAGTTTTCTTTCTGATCCTATGGGACGACTTAGAAATTATTTCTGTGGGAGAAAGATGAGAACTACATTTATTTGAAGCCTATCCTAAACAGTTGTAGATGAAATCCCGTTATGAAATGTTTAGCAAGTCATGATCTGGTCGAGTTGAAATCTGTTGTTTAGCTAAACTTGGTAACTTTTAATTGACATGAAAGTTCAATGGATCAAGAAAAAATTAGTATTGATTGATCAATTCAAATAATAATATGACACTGTATATGATTGACCAACTTATTGATTGACGAGTCAGCGATAAACAAATATAAATAGTGGTCGGCAACAAACGGATAGGCAGACTTGGAGCAGCGCAATTACCTCTTTTGGAAAAGCTACTCTGGATGTCTTCAGTCTTCGTGTCGTCCAGTGCAATTACCTCTTTCGGGAAAGCCCCTCTGGATGGCCCTTTACTTTAACGAATCGCTCCTAACGTGGCTTTATTGTATATTTCAGGTAGCTCCTCTGTGCCCCTATAGAATAGGCACTATGTACCTTAGGGATATCCTTTGGTAATTACTATTTATTATAACCTTCCCTCTACACTATATATATACCTTAACTAAATATCAAGTGAGTCTCTATTCTCCTGACCCTACGTTACGTACCCCGTCACGACAGGATATAGTTGTGACATTTGGTGGAGGCGCCGTTTCCGTAACACAAGAAATCCAGCATATGCAAGAACCAGGATAGCAATTTTAGAGGGAATACGAAATTCCCACCTATCACTTAGTAACACAGGAGGAAATCATGGAACAAGAACATACAGAAGTAGTGAGACTAGATGACCACAGGTTGGATAACATCACAAGCGGCAAAGTTGAATTGGCATTACAAAAACTACTACTGAAGTATAATGACGTTTTGGCCAAATCAACAAAGCACATGGGAAAGATAAATCTGACAGAACATAAAATAGAAGTAGGAGGAGCAAGTCCAATAAGAACCCGTCCTTACAGAGTATCCTAGAAAGAAAGGCAAATAATCGATAAGCAAATAAAATAAATGCTAGACATAGACAGCAATGTAATAAGGCCATGTCATTCACCGTGGGCTACTCGGGTGGTCCTAGTAAAGAAAAAAGATGGGAAAATCCGTTTTGTGTCTACTACAGAAAAGTTAGGTACCGTCAAGCTGGGTGACTTGAGACGGCCCGGCGAGTTGAGACAAAACTTTTGAGGAAACCAAATATATACCTGGCAATAATATATCCGACGCATTTGGGCGCCAATCGTATTTATTCGACTTAAGGGTTGTCAAGACGTGTTATAGTAATGTTTGGACCACCGCGGAAGCGATAAGTAATTTTTTGTGCATTTTTTTACGCGTGTATGTAATTGTTGAACTAAAAAATGGCTGAATAACTTTGCATACTGTCTCTATACTGTCTAGGACTGCCTATTGAAACTTTGCTCAGAAATAGATTGATATTTTGGGCATCTTCTGGAATATAGTAAGTTACTTTTCCTTTTTAAGAAAAAAAAAATATATATGAAAAGGTAAAAAGGCGGCTGATGCGGGTGACTTGAGACTTGTCTCAAGTCACCCCAAAACTATTCAGAGTGTTATTATGTGCCTGTTTCAATTGTTTTTATTGTGTTTTCAGCCTATTATGGGAAAATACAAAAGAAAACTTGACTCCTTGGCTGCAGGCCCTATGCTGATTCTGATAGCGAAATGTTGAATCGAGCGATTGAAGAACGAGTGAATCCTAACGAATAATATCAAAAATTAATGGCATTTTCAGGCGCACTATTCAACGAAAAGTGAATAATCTTAATACAAAAAATCCCGGTGGTCAAATAGTCTTTACAGTAGAATAGGAGCAGAGACTTTGTGGAAAATTTAGGAGTTTCTTGCCGTAGGGGCTTTCTAATTATGGGAAATCACTTAAAACATTTAGGAAAGTCGTAAAGACGGATGGGGTGATCAAAAATTCAAGAAAAATAACTTGCCTGGAAAAGATTAAGTCCGGCTTTTTTTGAAGAGACATTTTCAGATTTCAAGCACTCGTTGCTGTGACAAATATCAAACCTGCTAGCGCTAGGAGTCAATTGCCACCTTTTAAAAAACGTTTATTTGTCTCAAGTGATCCTTTTGGTTTGAAACATGAGCAAAAGCTTGAAATATATGGTTGTCTCAAGAAACCTACCCTAGTGTCTGACATGAGACAGTCAAAAAAAATTAAAAAACCCTGAGTAACTCGTTATTCACATAAAACTCAACTTATAAAACCGATTCTACGGGTTAAGACTCAACTTTCGACGTGTTTAAGTCATCACAAAGTTAAATAGTTTCGAAAATATCGCTTGCTGAAAGTCAAAATCGTCTCAAGTAACCCGATTTTACGGTACTTGATGCCGTAACAAAGAAATCAACATACCCTCTACCACAAATCGACGATATTCTGTCATATCTCCGAAATGCATCTTATTTCAGCACTCTTGATATGTTTTCTGGATAGGTAGTCATTGGGCAGGTACCCGTTGAAGAAAGCTCCAAACAGTACACCGCATTCGTAGCACAAGGTCACGGAACCTACAAATTTAATGATCTCAGCTTTGGACTATGTAACGCTCCCGCAACCTTCCAAGAATTAGCCGACCATGTTTTTTGGGACATGAAATGGAAGGACGTATTGATTAATCTAGACGACATATTGATATTCTCCCAAACGTTCGAAGAGCACAAAATTAAGAAAAATTTTGAAAAGATTACGACAGCCAAACCTAACTCTTAAACCAAGCAAATGCGAGTACCTACGAAAAGAAATAAAAATCATGGGTTTTAGTGTGAACGAAAAGGGCATACTACCAGATACCAGATAAACTGGTATGCATAAGGAACTTCCCAATTCCAAAGAAAGTTGAAGATGTGCAAAGCGTTCTAGGATTATGTAATTTCTATAGAAGGTTCATACGCAACTTCGCAGCAATAACAAAACCAATAGGGCCAACGTTTATCCTTTGGTAATTACTATATTATAACCTTTATGCTACGCTACAATATACCTTAAACTAAATACCAAGCGAGTCTCTATCCTCCTGACCCTACGTTATGTACCCGGTCACGACAGGATAAAGTTGTGACAATATCAAATACTAGACACCTAGATAGCTGGCAGCTGCAATAAAAAGTTCTGGCCAAAAAGTAGATTTTGACAGGAAAATAAATACCAGAAGCACTTTTAAATATAATATATTTAAATCAAAATCAAAAGTGTTACAATATAATATATAATCTCATAATACTAAACATAAAAGCGACAAATAATAAAATGAAAGAGGAATCTTGTCAAAAATAATAATGAAGTACATTTAATAGGTACATATTACAATTATTATCAAAAAAATATTATTGTATAACATACATATATAAAAAAGATCCTAAAAACAACTACAATCTAAAAAAAAAAAATGAAATATGACAGCGGGCAAGCTGAAATATTTCAAGTGTTGGTGGAGGGGTATAGTGAATTTCCAGGGATCAATAGAAACCCAAGAAAATCCTTTTGGTAACTACGCTAGGCGACATATAAAATTTAAATTTAAAAAAGTATGTCTTTTTGGGTAATAAGTAATAATTATTTTAGTAATAAAACTGGCACCGTATGGCAACAAAATTTGAACATATTATTTCGTCGTTTGTGCTTGAATTATAACCCTTTCGGTCACGATTTTGCCGTTCTAGTAAAAACAGATTCTTTATTAAATAAGAAAATCGATTTTTGAAATGTTTGCTGTACCTATTATCTATTCACAATCCGATGTCCAAAGGTAAAGGTAAAATTTATCACCTTTCAGTGCTATTTGATAGGGAATGGTGATAAATTTACCTTTACCTTTGGACTACGGATTGTGAATAGGATATAGGTATATTATTCAGTAAGTTGATAACAATATAAATATCAATTTTCAAATCTAAAAGATAGGTGAACAAAAGGGTTAAAGTAAAAATACCTTTATGGAATATAGCACAGAAAGTAATATCTGCCAAAAATAAAATATAAGGTAGGTAACTTCTTTCCTTAATGGACAATCTTCTTGATACAAATAACATGTAAAAAATCAAAAATTTTAATGCATAGGTATGAGGTCAAAGTCAAAAATTTAGATAAAATATCAGGATTAGGCAAAACACAAAACGTTCAAATGTGGTCTAAAATTTTTGACCGTTGTGATGTGGTATCACGTAGGTATTACCTTGATGCAGGGCAATTGAAAAGTTTTCTAAAATAAAAAGCTTAATGTTTTTTGGCAGATAAAATCTTACATTTCTGGATTGATTAAACACAATTAAGTGTTTCCTTGTAGCAGAAGCCTGACAGTTAAACTTTCACTGTGCAAAGTGTTCCAACAAGGACTGAACAGAGGCTAATTTTTGATTTCCCCTGTATGTTGGAGAAAATCCAAAATTGTCGTCTTATGTAGGTATTTTTTTCTTGCAGAATTCAATTATTGTATCACAAAACCTTTGAACTAAATATTATAGTATCTACAATGGATATGAAGGCAGGGTCTGGTGGAAAAAAAGTCTTGCGTTCATAACTCCAGATGGATATTATGAATACACGAGGATGTCATTTGGATTCGTAAACTCGCCTGCATGCTTCCAGAAAGCAATTGATAAGGCTCTCGAAAAGTTGAAGGACAATATAGCTTTCATTTATTTGGATGAATTGCTAATTCCCAGTAAAACGGTGGCTAAAGGATTAGAGAAACTTCAGTTAGTCCTACGAGCACCTATTTATTATTATTTTTATGTTGATGTGTTACCATAATTCTCTAAATATCTGTTCTGTTAAAAAGTTGTACAGTGTAGTTCTAGTAGTAGCTCGTCGAAATTTGCATTAGAGAAAACCGGGTTTTTGTGTTGTGATTTTTGAAATAAATCACATGGCCAAGGCATATATTCATCAGAAGAGAGATTACAGATTGATACTTTGTATTACAAAAGCCATTGACAGGCAAGAGAAGCAAGAAGATTTTACTCCCTTCTAACGCGTTTTTCATGACGGCAAATTATAAAATATGTCTAATTTCTTTTGACGTAAACTGAAGGTGATTATACCTGTATTACCTATGACAAACCTTTTGAGTTTAACAGTTTAATGAGGATTAAATATTGAAACAATAAGAAAAACTATCGACTATAGATGCAATTTTTCCAAAAATAAATAACAGGATGTTTCATTTAGAAAACACTTCCACCATGGCGTAAGTCTTTTGTGTTTGCTTCAAATGTTTCTTTGACTGAATTCTGCAGAAGATGGCTATTTTGAATTTTTTAGAAAATACAGAAAAAGTCTAAAATAACCCCTTTTTCAGTTTTCGTTGGAACACCCTGTACAGAGTGTATAATACAGGGTGCTACCACTCAAAGGCTAATCTGAAATTTTATAAAATGCATCATTGACTAAAATGCAAAAATGTAGAGAAAAAATATACCAAGTAGACTTTCAAAATGATCCACACAAAAGCATCAGAGATGAAAAACTAGCCAATGTTACATTATTAACATTCTCAGCAGTAGGTATCTTTTCATCACCCAGGGGGGTTATTTGATAAATTTTTACAACAATCTGATTCGAGAATTCAGCATAAACTTACCTGAGGCTTAGACCATTTTGCTATGCCATTCTCACATGGTTATAGAGCTTAGTTTGTAGGTCTTGCACATTAGGTTGAACAGAAAATAGTCCGCCCCATTATTTTTTGTGATTTCTAGACGAAATAGTTTCAAAAAAAAAACTGTTTCTACTCTAAGAAATACTATGAATGCTTAGAAACGAACACATTGATCATTGATGTTAAATAAACCTTAAAAAAGTGGGGTAGGTTTGTCCTAATGAGTGTAATTTATGTATTATCATTTCGAGTGTTTTTTGAACACAAACATTTTGGCAGCAAGATATAATTACCACCAATGAAAAATGTTTTTTTAGTGTTTCATATGGATCGTTTTGGTTAGCCGGCTCGGTATGGAGCACCCTGTATACTAGGTTTGTTTCAACTTGATTGGAAACTATTCGAGAAATATCATTTTCTTGTGCAGGGCAATAATTTCATTTCATTTACGAAGTTGCAATAGACAATAATTAATATGTGTTCAAGGTAAAAATAAAATAGATTTATCCAATTTAATAAATTTCAAATAAACTCTGGTAACAAAATTATTATAATCGGACGGTTGAAAAATGTAAAGTAAGGAGTGCGAAATTTACTACAAAAGCTCAGGACGTTTCAAAAATGGAAAATCGTCCTACTAAGATAATATTATAATTAATAGAATCTTCTCCGTTCAGGTAACTATCTGCTCAGTCCATCCGTTTCATCGTTCAAGGCAGTTCGCTGATATGAGTATACATACAAATTATTTTTCTTTTGATCAAATATAAACTACAATAGATTTTTTTTTTTCGCCTGTACAATTTTAGCAATAATTAAATCATCAGATATGGGGCGAGACAATGGCACCTAAGGTTTTGTTTTCATGGCAAAAGTATCGAAAATTAGGAAACAAAAATATAACAATAAACAAAAATAATATAACAACACAAAAAATAAATCTAGGTAACTTTGCGACAGGTTAATTTTACAATAATAATTATTAGTAAAATATACAAATATAATATTTTTCTTTGTAAATAGTGTAAATAAAATATCTTTTTTTTTTGTTCATTTAATTAATTATATACAAAAATGTGCCTTGACTAGGGATATATCGCATTCATTTAAGAGATTTCCACAGTTTCTGTGGTGGTAACATTGAAAAAATATAAGCCTAATTTGAAAATTTACACTTATATAAATCTTAAAAATTAAAAACGAAGATTTCTGCTCTCGAGTATTGTTTATCAGGTTACTATCTACCGTCTTTTTTATACACTTATTTAATTTAAGGGGCATCCCAAAAAATTCATAGTTTTTTGAAATACCCATTACCACTTACTATCCATCTTATCATATAAACAGACAAATAGATTCATGGCAGAAGTGGTGAAAAAATGCTTAAAAGTGCTATTTATATAATAGTAGGTAGGTATAACAACATTTATAAAAAAGTAACTAACACTTAAGTAAAGTTAGTATACGAGAAAAATCAATGATTAAAGTAAGCCTACAAAAAGGAGATGGGGATCTTACCTTTACCTAATACAATATAGTAAGCTAAACATCTAAAATAGCTTTGACACAACATTAATTTAACATAAAAGAGAATAGTAGGTAAGTACAGAATAGCGCAACAGAATTTTAATATTTTTCACATCAAGCTATCACGAATTCTTTCAAAAATCATGAACAAATTAATGGTGTGAACAGATTTCAATTTAATTGTTTCAGAGTTTTATAGTCAGGGAAAAAATGAATTCATCTCATCAGGATAAGAAAATCATTCACAAAAAATTTCTTTAGAAACTGAAATAAACGAAGATTTTTGTGTGAGAAATGTGTAGTAGAAAAAATCCTGCACTAAAATCATAATCATGACGCTCGTAAACAATTCAATTTTGTATTGACGGGCTCTGAGTGATAAATTTAAAACAATACTTAACTATTGAAAAATTCATAATATACTTAATACGTGTTATATATGATTTAATTTTTCTTACATTAGATGGGACACGCAGTTTCTAGGCTTTTTGTGAAATGTTCCTTATTTTGATGAGAATTCTGTCATTCATTTTTTTTTGTCCGTTATAAAACTCTCTCCACATGAATCAAAATCAGAAATTAGACTTTCAGGATTCTTGAAACAATTTGATTTTTGCAGCTTCCCACTCATACTTTGTAAATAATTTTTATTTTTGTAAAACATTTTCTATTTCTGCTAGTTAGTTGTCTCCTCAAATAAATTGATACAATTAAAAAGTGAAGAGATTAGTTTTTCTGATAATGACGTACACAATTAACAGAGAGTGTTAATTTTTTAGGTTCTAAAGAGAAAATGCAACTTATCCAATTGTCAAGGAAAAATATCAATAGAATTTTAAATTGTCTAGAAACTCTGTGTGGTAAAAGCTGCAGTTTCCAGATTTTTTTAAAAATTTTAGAGTTTAAAATGCCTGGACCAGAAGTCACTTGTATAAAAATTATTTACTTACTTTTTATAGGAAATCTGATAGATTCTGACTGATTTCTAATCAATTGCTAGTACAAAAGTTTAGGATAAAATTTCTGGTATTGGTTTACACCGTTAGATTTGAGTCACTTTGTGCTTATTCCTAACTTGGTGCAATACCCAAAAAAATAGAGGAGGGTATACAAGAATTTTAAATTTTGCTCTATAAAGTTTTTGCTATAGAATCTCAAATTTTCTAAAAAAATTAATTTGGACACTTATAAAATATAATTTTAGGCCGTTATGGAATGTATTTTCTATATGAAAAATTAAAAATAGGAAAAGCCTAAAAATCGCGATTCTAAATAGCAAAAACGTTTTATAGAAAAATTCGAAAATTAAAACAAAAACTTTCTAATCTACTTACGATACATATAACGAATCACAAAGAACTTAGTTCATATCACGTTTGGAGAGATTTGTTTTTTTTTTTTAATCTTAAGCAATTCAGTGTCCAATCAGACACTGATGCGTATACAAAACAAATACTAAAAATTTTATCCTAAAAAGGCAAGCTAGCGACGAACATTTTTTCTATCAGCGGCGGCGCTGGTACCAGGTCCTCCAATTTCAAATAAAATATCCTTTGCAGTCCTGCCACGCTCAGTGATCTCAATTCAGGCAGTTTTCCTAGTAATCGACTGAAATAGTGGGCTTTACGTTGTGCTTCTGCGTTGTAGGTAACGTGATCACGTAAAGAAGAGATGATTTTCATTTGGAGTTGTTCTACTTTGTGGGATTCTTTCAAACCGTGTCGTTCTGAGAAGAGAATTAAGTTTATTAGTAAAAACAGGAATTTTGCTTATAAGTATGGATAAATATAGTATTAGTTTAGATTAGGTGGTGAACAGAATGTCTACAGTTTGGCGACGTTATCCTGATTTTTTCTGAGGCACTTCTTTCGAAGATCAGGATAGAGCAGTCTAACTATACATTGATAAATACTCCGACATTTTATTTTATAGCTCAAAGTCTGGACTAATTACAAACGCAATATATTTCTAGATAGAATTTTATCTAAATAATTTGACTGAATTATTCCAAGAAGTTGTTGCTTTTTTCTGATGTGCATTAGGCATAAAACCAACGTTCAGTTTCGTCTACGCGCCCTGTATATAGTTGTAGGTTAAATTGGGTATTTAGGATGTTAAATCCTATTTGGGAATGGAAATTGATTAGTTTTTCTTTATTTTTTGTTTTCTTTTATTCTAACTGAATTGCGCGTGCTCTATGCCTAAGAATGATACGGCTTTGCTGCATTTGGCTTTTGAAAATGCGCGCGTTAAAACACTGAAAAGGGTACCGACAAGTCCTGATACTTCCTGCCGACAAGCAGTACCAGTTGCCAGAAACAATTCGCCCGCTTCGTGTGGTTCGAGAAAATAGACCCGCAGTTTTTCGTTTGTCGCGACCGGTTAAATCAAGACGGTTTCGTTGCACTCCTACACATGGGACCTGATCTTCCTGAATGAGTTGGCCAACTGAGTGGAGTTTGGAAGTAGAGCAAGGTAAGGTGAAAAAATATCCTTTTCAATTTCGATATCTTTCAAATTTATTTTGAAATCTTTTATCGATTACCATTCTATCAACAACCTGTGAATTTTCCAGTTTTAATTTGGCACAATATGGATTTCCTTGAAACGAGTTTAGTTGGTTGATTCTGTTAAAGGGGTCCCTTTTGGTAGGATTCATAGAGACAAAATAGAAGTGATCTTTGTGATTTTTGTATGTTTTTAGTTCTACGATGGAATTATGGATTATGGGACAAACGAATGGCTGCTTCATTATCAACTTTTAATTTTAGAATCAATTTGCTTCATCCAAACTATTTATTTTCCAGCTTCACTTGCGGCTACTATGTCTCTGCTTCACTTGTAAAAAGTACTACTGATGCATTGTCAATAGCTTATCTAGGAAATTGCAGCACCTGCATACATGCATTCATGCAGTTGACCGACTGGTTTTTTTATCCCTACCGTAGTCTTGAGTCGCTACATATTTCCAACTTTTCTTGTACACCTTGTAGGACAAACCCACTTCTACTATGCTTTTCAGGTAACGAATTATTTTCTAGACCGTAGACCTTTGCATAATCAATATAGTCGGGTTTTCCAACTTCCTGGACCCAACAGTTACAGCGTATGCTATATCTGGTTTGGTACAAGGCATCAAATATATTAAAGCTCCAACAGTTTCACTCTTTATGGAAAAATAATGTTCGATTCTTCTTAACCACTTTCCTTCCCTAATTGAAGTCTTTTGCTATAGGTGTTGAAACTGGTTTATAATAGTAGGTTCTAATATTTTCTGGGTGCATGAAAATTGATTGAGGTTTATTCTGTCCTCTTGATTTGTAATCCAAGAAAATACGAGACAGGTTTTATAGTAGTTTTAAATTCCTTTTTCAAACTTGTAATGTATTTATAGAGTCTTTTATATTATCGTTATCACATGTACATGCCAGTAAACCATAATCTACGTAGAGAGAAAGAGAGCTAATAGAAGCATATGTTGTCCTTCTTTTTTCACAAATAAGCATGGATCAGCATTACTTCGTTTAAAGCCAAGGGTTTTAATGCAACCTGTAAAACGTTTGTTCCAACATCTTGGAGCTTTCTTCAATCCATACAAACTGCGTGCACGTAACATACTAAACCACTTCCATCTTCGTAGCCAACTGGCTGCTCCATGATCACCTTTTTATCAAGTTCGCCAATAGAGTAATGCAGTACAAACATCAAAAACCCTTGATTACCAGTCCAGCTTTGTACTTATGTACTGAACTATCTGGATTTGTATTCAGCCTTATAGGCTCATATATTTATGCAGCAACTGTCATTACGAATTCATCAAATTTTCCTGGATGTCCCAGGTCGATTCAATCTCGTCTTAGTTCGATGTTTTCTTCCTTAAATCCGGTTCAACAAGTGCTTCTTTAATGTTGTCTTCTGTATCGTCTAATGATTCTGGATCCAAATCTTTTTGACATACTAGTATGAACGGTGAGGAAAACCACCAATTTAAAATATTATTTCTTTGAATCTTAACTTTTTAAAAAACGTTTACTGAATAAAAGTAAATGTTGCAACCATGTAATGCGCCATCAAGTAGGGGCGAACCTAGAGGCACCACAGAAAAAGCGTACGAAGGGTAGGTAGAAGAAAGAAGCGACTGGACTAGAGAAGAAGCAGACTCTGGGCTGGTCCCTTAGACCGTTTGTCCGCCATTGTTCATTATTCAATTTTTATTTTAATTTTGTATTAAACTGATTGTTTAATCCAATTTGTGATTAGTTTGTGTGTCATAAAGGATCATTCACAGGTTAGTTGAATAAAAGTTATTTTGTTTTGAGAGTTTATCTAGTTTATACAAGTATTATTTTTTTATTTAATGTTAGTTTTTTGTTTGTTTTAACTTTTTTATAACATGTGCAATGTTCATGTATTTAACAAAAATCGTTTCCTGCTTAAACAACACAGATAAAGAAGTAAATTAAAACCTAAGAAATTATGTGCTGTCTTTTTGTGCTGAGATTTTGATTTTGTGTATTCAGAACGTGCATTAGGGCCTTGTTAAATTTACCAACATTTTCTTACCCTGACGAGCGAATATCCTACCAAACAAAGGAAAGAGATATTGGCTCAAAATAACAACTATAGCTGGGTAGCATCCCGTATGGGACCTCAGTACCCTCTGGCAGACCGGCTAACTAACCAAAAACTTTTCAGTATTGATTATAGGTAGTGTTGATTGAATGTAGTGGGTGTATTGAAATTTTAGCACAAGAACAGGAGCGGCACCTAATTTAAACTTTTATTGACTTAAATTATTGAATTAATGACTCACAATTATTATTAAAATGACACAGTATGTTACGATTTTTGAGGAATGTTAGATCGAGGATTTCTCTGCCGTGTTCTTTCCCCTCGTTAGTTCCGTTCCAGGATGAGAACGGTACGATTTACTTTAATAATAGTAGACGTTTCACAAATTTTTCATTTCTTTTACAGAACACAGCTTTGCTCAAATTTCCCCTTATATTTGCTATGTTGGGCGCATGTCCAGTAAGTAAAATCAAGTAAGTTTCCACAACGTAGGTCCTATTTGTTTTTCATTCCGCTTTTCAGAAGATTTGTTGTTTAAAAGGTAAAGTCTGTTTTTTTTTAAAGATAATTCCCCAAGTCAAAAATTTAGTAACTATGTTGGCAACACAAGCCTTTTCTACATAAAAAATTTGAAAGCTTGACAATTTTACATTGTATTGCCAACATAATGTCATTTTGACTTTTATCTTTAAAAAAAAACCACATATTATTAAAAATTGACATCGTTCAATCTTGCTGAACGAATCCGGGTATGTTATACTACAACGTTTTCATTGTTCCAATAAATCTTCCATCACATTTTCATTGTTGTCTCTCATCAAGTCGAGCAAAATTTCCAATGGCAAGGCGGAATTAGAATTTTGTGACTGTTCGACAATATAACGGCGAAGGTTCATCAAATATGACATCACGTGATCTATTTTGCTCAAAGTTCCAAATTCTGTAGCCATCATCCTCATAATCAACTAGGACTCCTTTCAAAGCTTTCGTCGATTTTTTACCGTCTCTGTTTAGGAACATGTGCATAGCAAGAACTGCCTTTTACTCTCAAAGGACTTCTTTTTAGTTTTCGATTAAACCAAACTTCATAGGGTGTTTTTTCTTTTATGCTTGATTTTCCTTTACGATCTAGGATAAAAGCTGCTGTGGTAATAATTTCAGCCTAGAAACCCTGGTCTATATAGAGCTCTTGCAACCTCAACAACCGTTCGGTTTTTCCTTTCAGCACAACCCTTCTATTGGGGAGTGTACCTAGGGCATCACCAATCTCTGTCTTATACCTACCTTGTAGGTATAGGATTCTCTTCACCTGTTGTTTGTCAAATTCTCCTCCATTGTTAGACATTGCAGGATTTCTCACACTACATGACCTGAGGTTTTGATCTGAGCTTAAACGTGCTTTAAGCTTATCCACGACTTCCTACTTGTTTTTTATAAAACAGATATATCGTCATCTGGAAAAATCATCTTTAAACGATACAAGATAACGATAGTTTACCTTGGAACTATCAAAAGGTCAGTGTGAATTCTATCACCAGGTGCATCAGCTCTTTCTCTTGTACCAAACATTAGAATATGAGACGCAGTATTGGCAAACTTCGCTATCAAGTTTCACATTTATATCAAACTCATTTTCCATCAATTGACTATTTAAATTTCTATGTTGGGCTGACAAGGTTGAAAATAAAGAGCAGCCCTGGGACTATGTAACGAATAGAGATATTTTTTCTATCTCTATTGACGTCCCCTCTCTATTGATTTCAAAAAAAAGAAAAGAAGACAGCAAGTATCATAGAGATAGAGATAACGATCTCTATCCGTTACATAGTCTGAATGACCATTGGCTGTAGTGACTCTTTGATTGTCTCGAAAGTGTACATACGTGTCAAACCATTCACTATGGCTGGTAATATGATTTGTCAATATACCTACCAATTTTTCTCACTTTGACAAAAAAACATCTCATTGGACATAATTCATCAAACTTAGATTCTTGTCCTTGTCTTTAGCATCTTGACTTTGTTTGTTGGCTTCCAGGAGTCTGAGGTCTGCCATCCATTCCCATTTAGCACATTGTCTATCTCTATATCCTTTAATTTCACAGTAGCTGCATAATCCAATTCTAGTTGTTTTTGCAGTTCTTGACTGCTAATTTTCTTCATTCTTCGTTTGCCATGCTTTATCATATTCTGTCTTTGCTTGACATCAGACTCTAACTGTATTTAACTGAAAATGTTTTGTACGAAGTAGGTACTTCAACAACCGCTCTGATTTACTGTGTTATATAAACTTTTGCATTCTCAGCATTATCATTTTTCAGCCAATTGATAGTGTTACCACCGCCACCTGATTGTGACGTTTGGGTAAGGGTCACTTTGTTTTAGCACTGGTAAAGGCCTTTTTTGTACTGCGATAGCGTGCCACTAGGGACTTTGTTAAGTCCCACTGAAAATGTAGCTAACTTTTAACGGATACTTTTTAGTAATCTGATTAGATCGCCTCTTACAGTGCGGGATCTTGCTACCTGAGCTGTACGCAGTTAGTTGGAATGCTAGCTTGGAGATTTCCAAAGGAAATAAAAGAATCAGTTTTTCTGACCAAACTCTAACAATGGTTTATTGAACAAATGGTAAGGAAATGAAAGAAACCCGAAGAAAATACAATAAGTTATTAACAATGTTTACTGAAATGAAATGAAAGAAAATACATTCGGAGATTTGAAATGATGGGGAGTGAAATCTATGAGCGTCTTGTATAGGGCGTTCCTTGACGGTACAAGTACAAGAGAAATTGAGGATTAAAAGATACAGAAAATAAACACTAGGTTATAATTCTTAGTGGGTAAAAAGTCACTGGCGTCCTCGACAAGGAAATGACAAAACGGCCTTATTATTCAGGGTAAGATACATGTTGGAAAAGAGATAAACTTAAACACTAAACACCAGAACTTTGCTACAGAACTGAATCTATTTACAAGGCTCACAGGCCTATTTATATTGGCAGCTTGAGGACGCTTTTGGGATTCTTATCGGTCGAAAACATGCGATTTGTTCATGGAACCAGGAGTCGAGTTTTACGACACAGTCATCACACCCTTTCGGAAACCGACTGATAACTCTTGGCTCTTGACACGGTTTCGTCGGAAATTTAGCGACTTAATCTAGCTGGGTAAAAAAACCAATTAATTGTATTACGAAGCAAAAAAAAAAAAGGATTTTTAGGGCACAGCATCTTTGATGATTTTTGCCGAAATTTAAATTTGAGGACGGTAAAGCGTTTTGGCAAGATACTTGAATCATTAGACACATGATAATTATTCGGAGACTCTACCACAGCGAAGATTAGCGAAGGAAAATCCACTACTCAGGTGATATTTTGGAAAATGGGGGACATTTTGGTGAGTTGGAACAGGCAGAGCTTTCCTTGGGTCTCTTCAGCCTCGGTCCAGAATCCTCCAATAGTTTCCATCAGATTCCGAAGAACAATAGAAAATAGAGATAATGGAATGTCTATAAAAGCTAGATGTGCGACAAGTTTGACAAACAAAAATCAAAGAAAATTTGAAAGCAGTTGGACATGAAAAAATACCGACACTGCAAAAATGTGAATATGAATCAAAATCTTCTCCGATTCCCATCTTCAAAAAAGAAAAAATTATTAAGGGACAAGAATGAATAACTGACGAACTCTAAAAAAAGCATCAGAAATTGAAATCTTATTTGCATGAAAATCCTAACAACGAAGAGAGGTTTTTCTTCGCTGATATACTTTTTCGCAGATGTTTTTCGTAAGTTTATGGTAAGTAGTATTTGTGCTGACCTCACTTTCAGTTTCTGCATAACATCTTGCAGTTCGTGTGTGTTATGACTAATGAATACAATACCATCTGCCAAGTAGAGTTCTCTGCAGAATTTCTCTACAGTACCTATCGGTTGTCTTATGTGATGAGATATTTTTCTTCGCTGATATACTTTTTCTCAGATGTTTTTCGCAAGTTTATAGGAAGTAGGTACAGTTGGTCGTCTTCAGAATTTTCATATTTTCGTTCTTTTCCATCACCGTTTGTCATTTCTGTGTTGTAGTTCCTTTATAACTTGTCGAATCTTTTTCCTCATGTTTTGCCTTAATCATATTTTCATGCTCACTCATTAGGTCTTTGGGTCCCCTTTCACAGTTGACTGATTGTGGTTTTCCTCCATATTCTCTTGCGGCTGATTTGATAATAGAAATTATTTCTTCCTCTACGTTGTCAATTGTTATAGTGTCCTGAAGTTTTCTTGATTGGTATTTTTGAATTTTTACTGTTAATATTTCGGCGATGGGGAAAATTTGTTGTTTCATTAGCAGGTTGATATATTGTACCATGTGTACTTTATTATGGCTCCTAATCATCTATGCCAGTATCAAATATACCTCCGAACTTTGATAATGTAAGTAATGGATCTCATTTTGAAGTGAGACTTTTAAAAGTCCATCTTTTTCTAGTGATAGTTGTTTATTTTGGAGGTGATTGAATAATTCCTCTCCTCGTTGCTTTAAGTCGCCAAGACTGAATTTTCCTTCCTTATTTTGTAATAGGCATTTTTTTCTTTCTGTGCTCATAATATATTGCGAGTTACTTGTGTACATTTTCCACTTTTGCAATAATTTATTTACGTATTTCCCATAAATCAATAAGCTAGAGTGATAGTTTCCGGACAGTAGGTACCCATGTGTAATAAAATTTAATTAAAAATAATTTATTTTCCTCCCTAAGTAGGGCTACATATCGTGATCCAATTTTCATTGGCAATGAAATAATAATCGTCGATTTTCAATCAAACCATGCCCATTGTGTGTAGACCGCAAAAGTTTCAATATTTAATCAGACTGTTTCAACTGTCTGTCACTAACTTTTCCCGTATTTTATGAATTAAATATTAAGTATGTGGGCTTCACAACATCTGATATAAGCGCTTCAATCATAGAATTTAATATTTATTCATGGGAAATGTGCATTAAAAAAATTTCAATATTCGCAGTTCGAGGAAGGGAGAACAAATGCCGATTATGCTGACATTTCGGGTTCATTAGCACAGGATTTTCCGGCCTATTGTTTTCCTGGCAATAAAATGCTGGCGAGAACTGGTGAAAATCGAATTATCCTGTTTTGCGTTTATTTTCTATCTTAATGGATTCGGAACAGACTTATTGTGTTTATAAGACACGAATTCGAATAAAAATCAACACAAAAATTAATGAAGTTCTGGATAAATTTGTCTTTCTTATCTTGTGGAATGAAAATGCCACAAAGATTATTTTCTCGTTAACTTTTGAAGTAAACTTATTTCAAACCTATAGCTTGACAGCTCTACAACATATCCGAACAAGAATGCCCAAAGTTCCCGAATTTTGCATTATCAAATAACTACCTATTGATCGAAAAACTGGCTGTAAATAGCATTATTGTCGCACTAACCTAACCCCGTAGATATCTGAAATAAAACTAGCAAATAAACAAAAAGGAAAACAAAAAATTCAAATAAAAATTAAGAAAAGCGAAAAGAAAAAAAAACGAAACCACTTACCCCTACCTGTAATAAGTGTCAGAGCGCATAAGCACGCAAACGCCGATATGTCGATTTCCATCGAGTGCAAACCAGAACAAAATTCCATGATGCCGTGCAACCAATCACCAAACGATCTCTGGCACTGTTGCATATCCAGCACCACGCCGTTGCAGAAGGTCAATTTGGTGTCGTTCGGATGCGTTCGGTAGGAGAGTCTCAGCACGAACAGTTCGAGGTAGGCCGATTGGAACAGGAGTTCGCGATCTTCCAAACAAATATCCTATTTAGGAAGAAAAAAATATGTTTAGTAAACTACAGAAAAATAAAGAAGTAGACAGGTGAAGGTTAATTATGATTAAGTTAGTATGATTTTTTGTTGAATCGTTTTTCATAGTTCCATATTTCAGTATTTTAAGATTCTTATGATGGAAAACTTCTGTGAGGAAAACATATTGGTCAAAGTCAAAGTATAAGTTCTTACTAAGAATCCTGGTATTTTCTCGGCAAAACTCTTCACAACGTCCACCGAAGTAGTAAGTAACGAGTAAAATTGTTGAATTTTTTCAGCTTCTGAGATCACTGGTTCAATAGGAGTTGGTTCCATGTACTGGGAATAATCTAAATTGGCAAGATCCGGTGTTGTATCAACGTGGGCACGTACTAGCGCTGTTATCAACGATACTGGAGGACTTGGAGGAGATTCTGAAACAATTTTATGCTTGGCAACTCTTTGTTAATCAAATTTTAATTAATTACCTTGTGGTGATTTTGGTTTCGATGGTAGTCGGCCTCGTCTACCTTTCAAAGAATCCGTCCGCACCACTTCCTTAACCATTCCAACCGCTAAACATTTTTGAAATCGACAAAACTGACATCTGTTCCGTCGTCTTTTGTCTACTGGGCACCCTTTGTCCGCTAGACAAACGTATTTGGAACCTTTTTGAACTGTTCTTTTGAAGAAACCCTTGCAACCTAACAAAAGATGTTATATTTAAGGTCAAATTCTTTAAAGTTTCTATTTATTTTTAGGCTAATCTACACTAGATGCGAAACCAAGCAAATCAAATACCCGGCTTGGGGTCTATCGAAACTTGTAACCAGCGTATGATCCAGAATGGAAATCTGCAAGCTACTTGTGTGTGAGGTTATGGGTTCGAAAGCAGATGCAATTTCACAAGACAACGAAAAATACTGTAGACACTACAAGAAAAAAGTGACTACATCATTCCCATTAAAAATTGCATGCAAGGGGACATACCTACTTACAGAAAATTAAGGATTCAATGCAATTTATATCGGATGCATTTGACGGGTACCTACAAGGTTCAAATTGAGGAAGTCTTGGGAGATATGAAGCTCAAAGAAGAGAATGCGGCATTAACAAAGCGTGTGGAGACCATTTAATCCAAGCTAAATGTACAAAAGCAGGTGGAAAAAAGAGAAAAAATCTGGTTGTGGTTGGTACGCCTAAACATAAAAAATGATGATGTTTCCGTTATGAGAAAAATAGTCAAAATCGTAGAAGTTGGGTCACTGGACGAGGATAATATTGATGCATATAGAGTGGGAAAACAAGACTATGGACCAATTTTGTTGAAACTGAAAAGTGCAGAAGTAAAACACGAAATTCTGAAGTATCATGAAGTCAGATAGCCAAGTTGCCTTAAAAGCCTCAGGGGCTTTCAAATGCACCTCAAAACTAGTCTGGGAGTGTAAATAGGCCCTAAAAACATTAGCGACAAACAACCAGGTCACGCTGATGTGGCTGCCTGGTTATCGAGATATAGACGGAAACGAAGAAGCAGATGGCCTCGCAAAAGAATGGGCCTCAATACCATACCATGGACCAGAGCCCTATTGTGGCTTAATGAAAAGCCACGTCATGGAAGAACTCAACAAATGGGAGAAAGACCAACTGTCATCATATTGGAGGCACACTCCAGGACTAAGACATTCAGAGGTTTATTGTCTTTTCAGCAAAAAGAGCTGAACAGCTCCTAAACATGAGCAGACCAGACAGCAGAATGGTCGTAGGACTGCTCACAGGACACTGCCTGGTAAACAACCTACCACTTGAGGTTAATGGGCAAAGCAGAAAACGATCTCTGCAGATTCTGTTCAGACGCAATAGAGACCGCAGAGCACCTGTTCCTCGAATGTCCAGCCCAATTCTGCAAGAGGCTCAAATTCCTCGAGGGGGCAACACTGTCACTAGAAGAAGTGGGCCAACTTGACACCTAGAAAGATAGCTTCCTTGGGCAGAAGTCTACGCTTCCTGGAGAAAATTTAAGATGTAGAGTCACGTACAAAAGTGCTGAGCGGCTGGAAACCGAAACGACTCCTCCTACAATCTACAGTGAAGGATACATCCTTTGTTAATCTAGAGGAATGAAATGTTCTGTCAATAACTCTGGCAAAATCTAAATGCACAAAATGGAGTTATTCTTAAGTTAAGTGGACAAAATAATGGAAAGGGAAAGAAACTCTTGTATAATAATAGGTGATATAAACATAAATTTGCTGCTAGATTCCCATACAGTTAACGAGTATAAAAATATAACAATGAATGCTTTTCAAATTAAGAATAAACTTACACTTGAATATGCTACACGGACAACACCAACAAGTAGAACAATATTGAATCATGTTTTTGCAAATAAATTTTAACTCTGTGACCACATGATTTCAGATCATAAAATAATGAAACTAAATGTTGACAGAATGATAATTAAATGCAGAAAGGAAGAAATGACAAAGATTAAAAGGGATGAAGAGGGATGGAGACTGATGGTAGAAGAAAAAATACTTGAGAAGAATAACCTAAACACCTTCCAAGGAATGGCTGAGATCATTTTGAGCTCAAAAAGTCAGTGTTCTAGGAAATATATAAACAAAGTTGAATCTGGCAATGAATGGATCACACCAGAATTCTTACGCACTTTGAAAAAAGGGATGACCTTTACGTTAGATGGAAGAGATTGCCAAATGCATATACAGAGAAAGATTCTGAAACAATGATGAAGCAATTATAAAAGAAATATGCTGAAATGAAGCTTAGGGGCGCAAATGGTGACTACAAAAAAAACATGCAGAGTGATTAATGAACTGTCTAAAATTTTAACCAAAGACTTGAAAAAACTAAGTGGTGTGATAGAAGATAGTTTGGTGAATATGATAAATAGTATATTGGAAACAAGAACTTTTCCAGAGGACCTCAAGACAGCAAATATTGAGTGGAAAGTATGAAGATCTAAACAACTACAGGCCACTATCACTGTTGAGTACCAAATTATTAGAGAGGATTATCAAAAGACGAATGATTAAATTCATAGAAAAGAATTTTTAATTTGATGAGCAACAATATAGCTTTCAAAAGAAGAGCAACACCTTGGGAGCCGTTACTGATCTCTTAGAGTAGATCTCAAATAGAATAGACCAACAAAAATATGTTGTGGCTGTCTTTGTGGACTTACAGAAGGCCTTCGATACATAGTCGCTTGGCAGGAAGCACTACGGAGAAAAATTAGGACAGCAACGTAGTGCAGCAATGTGGGGGTAGCGCAGAGGTCAGTAAAAACTTCAGCCCCCCCCTAGACAATACAAGGTCGTCATCATTTTATATTTGTTTCAAGAAGCTTTTCGCATTGCATTTTTTCTGGTGAAAATTGGGTCTTGTCTGACGGTGTCAGTCCAGGCCCTTGCATGTCCCATATTCAGCCCTCTGTTTCGAATCGTTCAGTCTGGTGGATGCCTCTCGGGCCTATGACTCCACAAAGAAATAGAAAAAGAGTTTTCAGAAATATTTGGAGAGAGGATTTATTTAGTTTCTAATTATGCAGTATCATTAAATCTCGACCATGACTTACGAAAATTACTTCAAAATAACAAAAAGTTCTATTGGGATCGTTCCTGTGAGGCAGCATTCATAAAGTTAATGCAGGAAATAGCGAGTGATCGTGTTCTGAATGCATTTGATCCAAATTTACCAGTTATTCTAGCTTGTAATACAAGCCCTACAGGTGTTGCAGGTGTTTTATCATATATTAAAGATGGTGTAGAAAAACCAATCAAATCACTATTACATGTATTTATATGGAAGAAAATTCAAATCGATCACTGATAACAGCCCGCTGACAAGAATTTTTTACCAGAATGCGAAATTACCAACTATGACGTCTGCCAGACTACTCAGATACTCTTTGTTCCTTTCAAGTTTCTATTACGAGGCAAAATACGGTCAATACAGAAGAGGTTGTGAACATACGAATGTGGACTGCTTAATCTCGATCACCAATTGATCAGAATCAACAATCAACTGACAAGTTTCCTAATGAAGAAGTAAATCAAATCTGCTATTCAACCATTTTCGACATATCAACGTTAGAACTAAATGCTGAAAGTATTCGAGTCGAGACAGAGAAAGATGAAGTCCTATCGAACATATAATCTGATTTATTGATGAATCAATTTTCAGAATTCAATTACCGACTGGAAGATGGAGTGCTTTTCAAGAGTCAAAGCGCTGTTATACCGACTAAACTTCAACCTTTAGTGTTAGCAAAACTGCATAGAACTAACAATGGAATCACAAAAGCGAAGCAGTTGGCTAGGAAGTATTGTTCTTGGAAAAAGAAATTGCACCACTGGGAGTTGCCTGGACAAAACTAAGATCGTATACATATTGTCTATGCTGGTCCTTTTCAAGGTTTCAATTTTCTAGTGTTCATAGATGCAAAAACTCGATGGGCAGAATTAAAAATACTCAGGGATGCACCAAAATCAACGAAAACGATTGAACTCGTACATATTTTTTCAACAATTATTTTTTCAACACATGGTTTTCCAAAACTTCTGGTACCGCTCACAGGTACCGATAGTGCTACAATTTTTGTAAGTAGTATTTTCAAGTCGTATTATAGAGAATGTGGAATTTTTTAAAAATTTATCACACCGGGCCATCCAGCTAATACTAATAGACACTGAAAAATCGATTAAAAGCTATGGTCAATGAACCTACAAGTATGACAAGGAAAATTCAAAAAATTCATGCATTTCACCAGCTGAAATGTACTTGAATCGACCTGACGTGACGATATACGCTATATTCGACCAATGAAGCATGTGAAAATTCAACAATATCCGTCAATTAGGCATAGGAGATAGTGTGCAAGTTCGTTCTTATGAAAATGATAAAATGTCCTGGAAATTTGAAAATATTACACAGAAGTATGGTATTCTTCATTATCAAGTACTTTTAGATGATGGATATTCCCTGAAGCGACATATAGATCACACTCGGAAAATGGAAGTTCTAAAAAAGCGAGTAAATTTTGCCGATGTGCATGAAGAACCAAGAAGACACAAAACCAGATTGTAATAGAGAAATTCAGCTGCCGTTAATTATTACAAGTCAAGCCCAGCTAGTTCAAGTAGAAATCCTTGAACCAAACCCTGCTTTTGTGCCACCACCTAACTACGAAGAAAGGCCTCGAAGTCCTCGAAGATCTAAGAGACTGAGAGAAAAACCAAGACGTTTGAAAGAATTTATTTGTTAACAATTATATTTTGTTTGTAGGTATTCACCAGTAATTTGATAGATATAATATAGTGTGTCAAATAGTCTGGTTTTATTTCATATCAAATAAGAGAAGATTCCATAAATTTCATGATAGAATAGACAACACTTCAATCAATCTTATATACCTATGTATATCATTAATTTATTAGGTGGTATATTTCTATGCAAAAATAATTTGTTTCACAAAATTGCTGGAAAGTTTCATTATCCTATTCATCCTGTGTTTTTGGTAGTCTACCACAGGATTCAAAATTGAACAGCACAGTAGTATGGAAATAGGATCTGCCACCCAGCAGTGCAGTGAGCAAAGCTTTGAATGAATTTGTAGTACGCAAATTTAATTGCAAACTTTCGAATCTAGTGTGGATTAACTGATTTGCAAAGATAACCGAAAAATGTACAAATTTCCAAAAGTTCTCACCTTCACACGTCCTCACGCCATAATGCTGACAGGCAGCGGTATCACCGCAAACTGCGCACAATTGCGAAGGCGAAGGCGGCGTCGGACCTTTGGACGTTTGTGCTTGAGGCTCCGTAGGACCTCCTGGTGAAGAAGTAGCCGATGATGACGCAGAAGGACCTACCATTCTAAGTTTCGGAGACTCGCTGCTGCTGGTTGACTCGCTGCGTTGGAGAGGAAGGGAGGCTCGTCGTTGTCTAAATTTTTTTTATGTGAATTAGGTTTTAATACCTAATTGAATTACTGACTCATTTAATATTAGAAAATCATTCCGTAAATAATTGTACAGTTCTGATTCTTACCTTGGACTTAAAGCGGTACTAACATGAAGTTCACTAGTGGCCGGTGCTTGATAAGAAGGCAAAGAATAAGATTCTCCCCCTTGCGCCATCAAAGTCTCAAAACTGGGACTGCAAGTGGGCGGAGGGGGATAATAAGGACTGGTAGCCGAATACTGATGCATTTGTTGGTATTCGTAATGGTGGGAGGAGGCTACTGGATGATATGGGGCAACGTTGAACCTGAAATAAGTAATCATTAGAGCTTATTGTATTCAAACAGGCAGTGGCAATTAGTTGCTTACCCACACTCGTCGTCCATTTTAAATTGTGGCTGTTGCTCCTGTTGAGGAGGCAAACTTTGTTGCTGCTGCTGTGGCTGGGGCTGTTGTTGTTGAAACAAGCGATATGTTTCCTGAAAAATATTTCTAGCTTATGCAAGTGATAAATTAATTTTATGAATGTTGTGACAATGATTTTACTCGCAATTCCTTATGGGACCCCCCACATGCCCATAAAACCGTTTGAAAAGGAGAACCTCGAAGATTTCTAATGTAGGTATTTGTTAATAACGCATTAAAACTTGAATATTTATAGTTATTAAAAGCAGATTTTATAGACTCTGCACCGTATATTCAAAAGATTTACGTTTTTGTAACATAATAAAATTGAAATTATTATTCTTTACCTGGAAGCTAGGTAGCGGAGCGGGAGATACGGGCGGCGGTAGCGCTACGTCAGCAAACGGATCGAGATCTTCTGGTGCTGGTTGTAGTAAGGCGGAAGGTTCGTCCGAAAATGGTGCATTCAGCAGGTCTGCGAAGCTGCTAGATCCAAATTGGGTCTAGAACAAATAGATAAAACAGTGTAAAACTTACTCAATTATAGTTCAACTTCGATAAAATGAAACTGCTGACGATATTCAAAGTGCCTCAAATTTTTTTTTAACTGGCCATGGTAAATTTTTAACGTTTAATAATATTTTTAACGTAAAAATGTCACTTTAAGCGTTGATTATCGTTAAACTTCCCTTAAAATGGTCAGTACAAGCAGACATAAGACATAAATGTTTTATAAAAGGCAATTACTTGAAACTTGTTTACCGAAGATTTTAAAAGGCATGGGTATACCTATGCTAATCAGGAGGATTCATAAGAACAGCCCAGCTTGATGAAAATCTCATAAGTTGCTACAAAATACACATTAGTCAGATAGATAAATATTCCAAACAATAAAGTAAGTGAAAGTAAAAACAGGAATTCTGGGAGACAACATAATTATTATCGGTTCATATAGGTATTTTGTATTTTAGAGCAGGAACATACCTATTTGGAAGTTTTTGCTTTCTGATGTGTTGCAAAACTTTCCAATTTCCGATACAACTTTAACGAGTATTGCAGCTCCAGCTCACATTGAAATTTTTTAATGACATTTAGGTGTATACTAAATTGTTCTTCTTCGACATAAAATATTTAATTAGACTTTGATTTAATTTATCTTTGAAATATTATGTGTAATTGTCAGATATTAAAATAACTTTAATCGACTAGACTTTGTCAACCCTCAGGTGCCAAAACAATGCGTTGGAGAAGAAATAAAAATAAAATCGGAAATGTATTTTTAGCGAATTTCCATGACGTCACAGATTCAACGGATTCCAATTGGCGAAAAAAATAACTCGTTTGTCCTTGCATTCAAAACGGTGATTTTGTTTTAATTATTCCTCCTTGTCTTGTTTACATCGTCGAAGGATTAATAATAATTATGGATTGCTACAATTTTAATTAGATTTTTTTCTTGTGAGATTAGTTCTGATCAAACAAAGCGTGACATTTGGTAGACAAGAATTGAATTCATCAAAAAAAAAAATATTGTTTTTAGGATCATACGATTTATTGTAGTAGGAGAAAAAAGTAGGTGCTACTAGGTGGGTCTTTTTTACACACAAAACACATACATATTCATGATGATGCACTTATTAATATTGTTATTTCTGTAAAAATTATAATTGACATAATCCGTTTTCTCGTAGACAAAATCATTCGAAATAGCCTACGGGATGTAGGTAAGTTTTTTTGATACCTACCCATTAAAGGTCGCATAAACAGAAATAACAACAATTATTAAAATCTTAAGAAAAAAAATTCTATAGAAAAGAATGCACCACCATTATTAGTACATGTCATTATTTTTTGTCTAAAAGAAGGTAATTTTCCCTCAGAATTAAAATACACTAATATCTAATTAATATTTAAAAAGTGAGATAAAAAAGATCTCCAAAATTATAGACCTACATTTTCCTGTCAAAAGTTAGCAAGATATTTGAAAAAGCGATTGATTCAAGGCTTATCAGTTTCTTAGAGCAGAGGGTCCTGTCAGGCAAACAAAATGGATTTAGAAGGGGAAATAATAGATACAATACGAGCAGTATATCAGGTTCTTAATAAAATCCTTGAATCTTTCAACAACAAACAAACCACTGTGGCTGTTTGTCTGGATCTCTCGCGTAGATCATGGTAGGTTGATAAAAAAAACTGGAACTACTATTGGGGTGAGGGAAACTGGACTTAAACTTTTTGTGTCGTAGGTACTTGAAACACAGGCAACAATGTGTCAAGGAACTGGATGACACTGATGGAATGAAAATCAGATCCAATTACTCCAAACTATCGAAGGGAATTCCGCAGGGTTTGGTTCTGGGACCTTCACTCTATATCCTATACACAAATGACATTGTTCGTTATGTTTGCTGACGATACAATCATCATTTGTAACAACAAAATAGATGAACAAGTAAAAAAAGAAGTTGCAAAAAGTATCTCAACACTTGAAGAGTGGTTTAAAGATAATTATTTGCTCAAGAATGTCAAAAAGGCCCAACTAATACATTTCAAACCAAAACAAAAAAAATTGTGTGTAGGATATGGAGGGGATGAGGACCTAGTATCACAGGGATTGTGTGGAGTATCTGGGTATGGGTATGATGCTAGATGGGAAGCTAAACTAGACAGAGCATATTGTAAAACTGTCTGGATGCTGTGTCGCTCTCATCTTACTGGTACAGTCTAGAATACGGTATATATGGGATTATTTTCTGGGGAAACTCAAGAAATGCTGGAAGGATTTTAAAACTACAAAAAAGATGCCGAAGAGCCGTGTACTTATACTAAAAAACAGGGAGAGTTTATGAATAATAATATATACACTATTTATAACTACTCTACAAGGAATAAATAAAAGCTTACATCAAACATTGCACACTTTACATTCATCCAGAGGAGTGTCAAGTACAGTATCCTGAAGATCTGGAATAAACTACCTGTTGCTTCTAGAAACCTACCCCAGAAGAAACAAAACTTAAAAAATCCTTGAACGCAAGGGCGTATTACACAGTTGATCAGTATTTTGAAGATCCAGAGGTTAAGTCACACATTCATACGCTTTTCTGCAAACGTGCCAACAGATCTCGAGTTCTAGTCAAATTTTAAATCTAGCATAGGGGGAATTCATAAGAATAGTGCACTTTGTGCGAAGTCTTCCAAATTTGGCATAGTCTTATGTATGGTCTTAAGGTTTTAGGAAACTATCGCAAGCAATTTGTGCGCGGCTTCTGGTGGCCTGTTAGCTATAAATCAAATATGGCTGCAATCTGTATTGGTATTTTTGGGAGATTTTTCTCTATAAGACACAAAATCTTGAGTAATCCCACTTTTTATGGGTTAATGATCATTCTGCAACTGTCCACATAAAATTTGTCCGGTGTTGCGGTTCATTTTCACAGTTTTTGTAGCTCTTACGGTGATGAACTTTGGACTCTTGAGTTTAGACAGTACAAACTCTTTAGTGCCAAATTTCAGGATGTTGAGCTGGTTGTCGAATGCAAAACCATGTTGACTGATCAAGTCCATACCCGAAATAAACTCATCCTCTATATCAGCAATCAGCCCTCTATGACAGATCTCGATATTTTCTAATCTCAGATCAATGTCTGTTTCTCAATACTCATTTGTGGTTCCTCCAGTCACTGTGCGCAGAATAACCTGCTTGAAAGTGGGTTTGCATTGAACTTTTTGGCAATGTTCGAATTTAGTAGGTATACGGCTGCCCCTGTGTGCACTGTTATATTTTTCCCATTAATATTTCCTTCAATAGTCAAATTATCCGCAGTCTTTCTGATGGTTATGATTCCAGGGGCTTCACTTGCACTAGCCAACACCCGCCTCTCCGTGTTCAATAATTCTAGTTTCCCTTTCTACCGCAGCGAACATTCAATGCCCTCTTTCCAGTTCCCTTGATGGTTTTTGAAACCACCTTTTGCATTTCTTCAAGAATTTCCTTCATTGTTTCTTTAATTCAACTCATTGGTTCTTTTTCGTTTTGTATTGACACAGCTCTAATCTTTGGCTTAGATATCTTATATGCCGATTAATTTCTAGGGCTTTGATCAAGGCTTCGCTGTTATTTGATGGTTTGTTTATGAGCAGCCTTCTCTGTACATCCATATCTTGCACTCCATTTATAATGTTCTCGAGCACTAGCTGTTCTTGCATCTGTGCTGCTGCTCCCGGATAGGCCAAATTAACCAGATGGCGAATATCAAAGTCTTGTAGGCTTTCTGCTGCTTTGTTCTTAGTTGTAAAGCTACCTTTGGTGTTGATTTCCATAACAATGCTCTACAAGCCCACCATAGTTTTGTTGGGAAGCTGACGGAAGAGCCTCTAATAAAACTAACGCCGGACCCCGTAATGCTACAATCAACCCTGTAGCCATGTCATCGGAGCTCTAACTATAAGCCATTGCAACAGTTTCGAATTGACGTCTGTACATGGCCCACGATGTCTGTCCATCATTATCATATTATTCTTATAATTATAAACTAAAATGGTATTATAGTTAACTGTTAATTAGTAGTTGCAGGTTTTTGATTTCTTATGTTATATAAAGTCCTGATTTCTCAACTGTATAAACCTCTCTCTCTTCATTGATTCCTCTAAAGCAGAGGTTCCCAACCTTTTTTTAGTCACGACCCTTTTACAGATTTGCTCATAAGGTCGCGACCCCCCTACCCATTAATAAATAAAAAAACAAAATTTCATTTATTCGAGAAATCTTTAACAAAAATAATAATATTTCATAACTAAATACCAAAAGTCAATTTTTATTTTGTTAATGTGATGACTGAGCATCACCGTAACAAGTTTTGAAATTCTTGGTTGAGTTTTTCTTAAAGCCAATCTTATGTCATCTTGAACGCCCAATCTATTTCTGGCCTTTGTTCTAATTTGCAAAAGAGTTGAAAACCCAATTTCACGAAGGTAGGTAGAGGCAATTGGCAAATGGTATTAGTATCCGAAAAGTAAGCACATGCAGGACGATATGAGGATATGAACTATGCATCGCACACCAAATTTCAGTCAAGCATTTTTCCTGAAATAGACAGGTGCTGTGGAATCATTCCTCAGGTCTAAAAATGTATCCAGCACTTCATCAGGAACGTCGCCAACATCTAACGAGGCTTGGAACGGGTTCCTTACTACTGCAGCTTTTTGTTCAGATAAATCGAGAAAATAACTCCCATTTCATTCTCAAGGGATTGAAGTTGATAACCAATTTTCTCTTTTTGGATTCCCTACAATTTCTGTTTCTGATGCTTCAGCCATTTTGCATAGCTACCTATGTTGAAAAACATGTGACTCAAAACCTGTGCTATGCACTTCGTCCATAAGGTCAATGCAACGCTGCGCGTCTTTTGAGGCCGAGGCTAAGGCGTGTTGCCAAATGCAGAAAAATATATATTGATATTGGCATTGCGACCCCTCCAAAAACCCTATGCGACCCCCTTAG